TGAGATTCACCCTGAAGGTCTGATTTGATCCCTAGTCAAACTGAAACACTGCATGTTCGACTCGATCCCTCGAAGGTTCGAGTACAAGGGTCGAACTCTGAACCTAGGCCCCATTCATTCTGGTTCGGCCTGAACCAGACTGGTTCGGTTTCGACCCTGCTCGACCGACCTGGTTTGAGTTCGGTAATTTCTCATGCCTACATACATGCACACGTACACAAGAATGCACACCGCATGCAGACATGCGTCAACGCATCCTTGAGACATGCATACTTGCGTACACGCACACATAAATGCATGCCTGGATGCATGCATCCATACGCATGCGCGCGCGCACACACACACACATGTATGCACGCGTAACCCCACACGCACACACACATACACGCACACACATGGAGACATGCAGACATGCACACATGCACATATGCACACATGCTCACATGCACACATGCTCACATGCACACATGCACACATGCACACATACACACATGCACACATACACGCAACACATGCACACTTTCACACATACACACGAGGCCTGTCACTACAAAGGCATTTGCCCTTTTTACTCGTAAATTCAAGTGCTGGTTTCGGGCTCAGCCCGTTTTCCTTAGGGGCTGGCTTGGCACCTAAGCCCGAATTTTACGTATACGTTCAAAACGCTCACCTACCCCCCACCTCCCTCCTTTTCTTGGTTGTTCCTTCCCCTGCTTTGTTGGAGCCTATCCGCCTCCCCCCACCCACCCCATTGTAGATTGGCTTATAGATCCGTGTAACACAAGCCCGTCTAGGTGTAATTGAGCATCAACGTAGTTTCACGATGTGTTCACGCTCAAGCGCTAAACAGTGTGTAGCCTGAATCCAAGAGTTGAGATTTAAAGCTCAAGGCCCAAATTGCACAAGCTTAGTATTCTCGTGCAAGGTTGGGTGCTGGGGGGGGGGGGTTGGTGACGCGAAGTCCTGGGGGCACCATGTGTTTGGGGACCGAGAGTCTCAAATTGCAGAGTTGAGAAACTTGCACTGTGTGTTGCCTCGACCAATCAGATTGCTTCTAAACCTTCCGTACCCAATCAGATTGCTTCACACGAAGAGACAGCACAGAAAACGCAAAGTGTGCAAGAATAGTAATCTTGCCCCGCGCGCTTCGCAATTTGGGCCTTGAGGTTTTAACTTAATCCGGATAATTGAGGGCTGAATTTATGCCACCTCGGCTTGGTAAGTTTTGGGCCCAGAGCAAGCGCATCCCTGATGCACACGTGCACACATGCATACATACAGACAGGCAGACAGGCAGACATGCATGCATGCATGCATTGGTACGTACATACGCACACACAAAGTTTTGAATTAAAAAAAAAACATGACATCGTACCAGTTTCCTTGCCCCCGGAATCCGATCCTCGGCATCCTCCCTTTACACCGCTCTCCTCCCTCATGCCCCCCTCCCCCCCCCCCCCTTTCCCCTCCCCCCCCCCCCTTCCCCTCCCCTCCCCTTCCCCTCCGCTCCCCCCTTCCCTGCGCCCTCGACCCCACCACAGGCACATCTCATACTTCCCGCCATTTGGCCCGTTCGTCTGGATAGTGGTGTTGGTGCCCTTCATGGCCGTCTCCACCTTCCTCCTCTGGACGAGCATCCAGCTCATGCACGCCTTTGAGTGCGACTGCCAGCACCTGGCAGCGGCGCAGCAAGAGCTCCACGCCGCGCGAGTGGAAGCGGAGGCGGCGAGCCGCGCCAAAGGAGACTTCCTCACGACCGTGTCACATGAGATTCGCACGCCCATGAACGGTGTCATTGGTACGTTGTGGGCCTGTACTAGTTGCCTACCTCAAATAGGGTGCTATCATATGTGAGCCGCGCCAAGTGAGAGTTCCTCTCACCATCATGTCGCACGAAATCCGCATTCCCATGAACAACGTCGTTGGTAATGTGCTCTTCAAAACTTTGATAAAGTTATGTGTGTGTCCTGATCTCGCGTGTGGGCCCATAGGGCCCACGCATGTGTCGCGCACTGTTGCGATCGAGCACAGTGCGCACGATCACATTGTTAGAATTATATATTGTGTAGCATGCCAACACATGTGACTGTACACCAATTGTGGTGTACAGTTGGGTTGGGACTACACCCAACTTTGGGTGTAGTCGTGCACTTTGGGGTGCCAATCCACCCAATTGTGGTGGAGCCCCCAAATGCAACCCACTTGGCTTATGGGTGCCTCACTTCCCACAAGTGAGGTCACCTCAAGCCAAGTGGGCCTAGGGTTGCCTCACTTCTACAAAGTGTGGGCAACCCAACCCACTTGACCTATGGTTGCCTCACTCCCCCAAGTGAGGTCAACCCAACCTATGGTCACCTTCACCCTTCTCTTCCAAGCCTCTCTTCCAACTATGTATGCTAGGTTTCTCCTCTAATCAAGTTACTTGTTCAATTTACAATCTTCACACACATAGGACATGGCGTCATTATTGACATGTCCCACGCAGCCCAACGCACGATCGCGTCAGCGATTGTCCTGTTCTGCACGACCGAGGGTGCTCGGGATTTCAGTTGAAAAAATGAATTCCGTGCTGACTTGGCGAACAGGATAATTCGCGTGAAAGCCGCACTGACTTCGCAAAATGTATATAATCATTTTGTTTCAGGTACAAAACGGTGAATTTGAAAACTTGAACCTCACACGAGTGTCATGATTCTGGCAGACAGCATGAGAATTCATGATCGTTTGCGAGAGGAGTCAATCAAGACATCTAGCAGACATGCAAACTGAAAAAAAAAAAAAAAAAAAATCTAAAGTAGGTGAAACACACCAAATGCAGCAGAAGTTTGACAACCGTTTTCTAAGACAGCATGGCGAAGTTATGAGTTTCTGGTAACAACTGCCTTGTGTTTTCATTTGTGTGTGTTTATGACTCTATATAAATTTGTGCTTGTGTTTGCTTTAACACAACAATGCTTTCTCGCTTACGCGCCAAAATTCTACTACTACGTATTGACGAGAGTAGAAACGTTACGTAGTGTTGTCGGAACGTTGATCGACCAGTTTCTCACACTACAAGCTGAGTCAAGCTTTACTTGCTCGCTTGAACTTTCACACCCTTGCCTAGAAGGGTCTCAGGTGGAGTATGCATGGCTACGCTTAGACATAATAGTTCAATTTTGTAATCGCTTCCGCATAGTGTTTATCACTCAACATATTTGTCGCATTGTCTTCTTTTCTTGATCACCTCCTCCTTTAATGTCACCTCTCTTGCACCCTCACATCATTTGGCATCTAAGCATGCTGAACGTGCTGCTGGAGACCTCTGGACGATCCGACTTCCGTATGTCCCTTTTGCTCCCCCCACATCATTCTCCCCACCAGGCATGCTGAACCTGCTGCTCGAAACCCCATTGGACGGCACGCAGCAGGACTACGCGGAGACGGCGTGCAGCAGCGGGCGGGCGCTGTGTGCGCTGATCAACGACATTCTCGACCTCTCCAAGATCGAGGCCGAGAAGCTCCGCCTCGAGCGCATCCCGCTCAACCTGCGCGCCGAGCTGGACGACGTGCTCGCGCTCTTTGTCGAGACCGCCCAGGAGAAGCGCTGCGTGGAGCTCGCCGCGTTTGTGGCCGACGACCTGCCGGAAACACTCTTTGGGGATCCGCTTCGAGTGAAGCAGGTGCGTGTAGTGCTAGAAATAGGCATAAGCAAGTACCGAACTCGAACCGGGCTGGGTCGAACAGGTTTGCCGTTGCCCATTGGTCAGACTACCGGTTCGGTTCGCGTCTGTAGAGATTGGATCGGTGAACTTCAAGGCACAATGGGAAGAGGAATTTGTCCTTAATCTGGATGTTGGTACAATTCTTAGAGACTAGAGGGATGTCCTTCTAAATTCTAGTGAAGTGGTGAAGCCATATACATATGGTTATATATTTTAGGCTAGTTGCAACATCTCAAAGTTGAGGAAAAGGCTAACCAACCATGGAAGTGAGATGTCATGTTGCACACGTGGGCAACACTGGAACAACAGCATACATGGCAGCACATGGCACACCATACAGACCAGCAAGGTGAGCATGGGACTAGTTGACAGGTGGCAATGCCAACTGTGACCACACTTCACTGTGGGTGAGTGTGCTGGACTATGCACATGTCATGATGAGCATAATATGAGAGGAGAAATGCAAATGCAAGGAGTTCAACCCTCAACCTCTACCACTAGAGGTGAGAAACTACCCCTCGGGACATACTTAGTGAACAGCATGGTTGCATGGAAATAGGAGGGGCGTAGGTTCGAGGTTCGGCCAAGAACATGTCATAACCCCTCACCGACGAGAGACAGCATGCAACGAGCCTCGGCTGCCTCTTCCATGGACTTGCAAGCACGCCCCTTTCCATCTCAGCTCCAAACCCCCGCTTCCTTGCCTTTTCTCCTTTGCGCCTTATCGCTGCCCATTTTTAGTTGGCTGATGTGTCAGGCGTGCAAGAGCACTCTGAACTCTGTCATACTTAGCTCGGATACCACAGCACTCGTTGCATCAAATCACTCGATTCGCGCTTTCCCTCGCTCACCGTATGTGTGCGTGCGTGCGTGCATGCCGGTGTGCATGTCCGTGTGGTTTCTCCTGCGTGCATCGGATCCTCACCAACCTCATGGGCAACGCATTCAACTTCCCCATCAATGCCCCTTGGCCCCCCACACTCCCCCCGTCCAATGCTCCTTCCCCCCTCCCTCTCCCCCCCCACCTGCATGCATCAGATTCTCATCAACCTCATCGGCAACGCATTGAAGTTCACCACCAAGGGCCATGTCTTCATTGCCGTGCGCCTCGCAACCCCCACCGACACAAACAGCGATGATGCTCCCCCATCGCTGCTCTCAGCTGCATCTTCTAAATTCTTCTCCAAAGAATCGCCCACCAGGCGCCAGTCCCTTACCAACTGCTTCACATGTGCAAATGCAAAGAACTACAGGGAGGGAAAGGTAGCAGCTGAGGGAGTTGGGGCGACTGCTGAGGTAGATGGGAGGAGCGGTGCTGCTGGTGGCGACAGTGAGACTCATCACGACGATGATACTTGTGGCGATGACGGCAATCCTGACAACAATGGCTCCAGTACCGATGCTGGCACTCGTGACGACAACGACTCCTGTGCAGATAGAGGCACCGGTGGCAGTAGGATTGTTGTGCATGCTTCCAGTGACCCTGGTTGTCTGACGCTGAGTGGCCGGCCAGCCATGAAGTCATGGTGTTCCTGGGAAGGCATGCGGGAGCACATGGACCTGAATGCAGTGGGCATGGGCAAGGGCATGCCGAATTGTACCTGCCGTGGCAGCCACGGCCCTTGCATCCTGCCTCCTGACCAGCCCGTGCGCCTGATGGTGGCTGTGGAAGACACAGGTACGACGGTTGCACTCGTGATCTCATTGTGAGACCGTTCAAAATGATTTGAGATATGTCACAACGCACGCCTTCAATCGTTCACGTGCTCTCCACCTGTCCCAGCAAGTGGTTCTAGTCCTATTCCTCGCCAATCTCGTCCCTATGCTCGTTCTTCCTGCAGGTACCGGCATCCCGCGCCACGCTCGGAGGCACATCTTCCGGCCGTACACACAGGCAGAGCGCAGCACGGCACGGCTGCATGGAGGCACGGGCATCGGCCTCTCCATCTGCAAGGTGCGCTGCACAGGGAATCTCTGATTGAATGTGTCCACTGGGCTTTAAGGTCTGTTGCATCGGTCTTGCTATCATTCTGGAAGGTGCGCTGCATTGTGGGGGATCCTAAGTGACTCTTACATCCCTCCTTTCCTGCCCATATCCTTCCATTTCTCCACTCTAATCCCCTCCACTAACCCCTCACTTGCCCCTCCCACTCCCCCATGTGAGCAGCGCCTGGTGTCGATGATGGGGGGATCCATCTCCTTTGTCTCAAAGCCAGGCGTCGGCACCACCTTCCTCTTTGATATCCTCCTCCACACACCCCCTCTCCCTCACCCTCCCCCCTCCACTCCTCATCCTTCCCAACCCCACACTCCTCCCCAAACCAGCACTCCTCCCCAAACCAACACTTCTTCTCATGCCCCTGTCGTTCCTCCCTCTCTCTCCCTCCCTCGCTCCCTGCGTACTGCATCTCCGACCTCTTCTCCACCCCCCACCACTCCCTCTGCCACACCCACTCCCACTCCCTCTGCCCGTGCATGCATCCCCTCTCCTCTTCCTCAAAGCTCCTTCCACGTGCCCCCCCAAGACACAGGCAACCAGCAACAACAGCAGGGGGCAGCATGTGGGTTAGAGGGTGTGTGTGTGGGGAGTGGTGGGAGGGCGGTGGGTGAGCTAGAGGGCGTGTGCGTGGTGACTGGTGGGAGTGGTGAAAGGGCGGCCTGTGGGCTAGAGGGAGTGTGTGTGGTGAGTGTGGACGACCGGCCGGTGCGGCATGCCGTCACTCTCTCTCTGCTGCGCCGCCTTGGCTTCTGCACCCTCCCCTGCCCCTCCTTCCACCTCCTCCCCCGCCTCCTCGCCCAACACCGCTCCTTGCACCATGGGTTGTGCCATTCCATGCACCATGGGTCATGTCATTCCATGCACCAGGGGTCATGTCATCATCTTATGCACCATGCGGAGCAGGAACAGGAGCAGGAGGATGGGAAGGAGGATGAGCAGGAGGAGGGGAAGGAGGAGGACCAGGAGGAGGGGAAGGAGGAGGAGCGGGAGGAGGGGAAGGAGGAGGAGCGGGAGGACGGGAAGGAGGAGGAGTGGGAGGAGGGGAAGGAGGAGCAGTGGGAGGAGGGGAAGGAGGAGGAGCGGGAGGAGGGGAAGGAGGAGCAGTGGGAGGAGGGGAAGGAGGAGCAGTGGGAGGAGGGGAAGGAGGAGCAGTGGGAGGAGGGGAAGGAGGAGCAGTGGGAGGAGGGGAAGGAGGAGCAGTGGGAGGAGGGGAAGGAGGAGCAGTGGGAGGAGGGGAAGGAGGAGCAGTGGGAGGAGGGGAAGGAGGAGCAGTGGGAGGAGGGGAAGGAGGAGGAGCATCACAAGGCTGCACTAACCTCTGAGCCCTCTCCTGCTGCTTCATCTTTCTCGCACTTCCCTCCTCTGCAGTCTCCTCGTCCCACAACCACCCAGCCCCCTCGTGCTCCACACTCCGTCTCCCACACAGCCCCATCAACACCTCACCCATCAGCTCCTCATGCTGCTTCTCCCCTCAACTCTCCTCGCTCCAAGGCACATGCAACCTGGACACAACTCGCTCCTCTTGAGACTTCTCAAAAGGCACATGCAACCCTCACACGACTTCCAAATCCCACTCACCTCCCACCTCTCACTTCGCAACACTCCACAAGCACTCCGCCTGATCCGTCGCTCAACCCCCAGTTTCCCGGCTCACAAGCCAACACAGGACCAGTCAACACCCACTCATGTCCTCCTCCTGAGCCTCCCCTCGAGCCTCCTCTCGAGTTATCGAGTCACCCTCTTGAGTTGTTGACCCATTCTCTCGAGTCGATGAATCATCCTCTTGAGTTGATCAGTCATCCTCCTCCTCTCAAGCTGTTGAGTCATCCTAACGAGCCTCCTCTCGAACCGTTCGGCTCGCCGGCTGTTCTTGTGGCTCCTTTCACCTTCCGCCCCTCTGCCTCCACCCCTTCTGCCTCCTCCGCCCCCTCCTCCGTTTTCTCTTCCTCTCCTCTTTCCCGCCAGTTCTCCTGCCCTCCTCTTTCCATCAGTGTCTGCCCTTCGAGCAAGAATGACATGGGTGGAAGGGCGGAGCAGCATGAGGATGAGGGAGCGGAGAAGAGGAGAGGGGAGGAGGAAGGAGAAGTGGAGGAGGAGGAAGGAGAAAGAGAGGAGGTGGACAGAGAGGGGGGAGTGCAGCAGCGGGTGCACTACAAGAGCTTGAGGAAGGCGCAAAGGCGGGGATGGGTGGGGGCGGTGGTGGTGGAGGGGGAGATGATGCAACGGCTGGGCGTCACAGCAGATCAAATCCATTCACTCTTGACGGACCAGGGGGGACTTGGGATGGCAGGGTCTGACAAACCGTTGACCGAGCGAGAGCAGATGAGTGTGGAGAACGTGGATAGGAGAGAGCCAACGAGCAAGGGAGGACACATGAGTGGGGCCAGGGAGGAAGAGGCGGAGATGACAAGAGAGGGATTGAGCGGGTGTGCAGTGGAGGAGAAACCGCAAGGCAGCGACCGCAAAGGCAGCGGCCCGCAAGGCAGCAACCCTAAAGCCTGGCCCGTCCCCTTCCTTGTGCTCCTGCACTGCTCTCTCCCCCTCCCACCCACCTCTCTTGCCGAAGGCCTTGCTTTGACTGACAGTTTCAGCCCTTACGAGAGGAATGCTTATAAAGGGGACAGTTTTTCCCATGAACTGGATTCGGACTGTCACAGGGAGGTCAGCTGTGAGCTGAAACTGAGCAAAAGGGGTAGGGCTGGATTGCAGAGCAGGGATAGGAGTGGGGACAGGAGTAGGGACAGGAGGGACAGGAGGGACAGGAGTAGGGACAGGAGGGACAGGAGTGACAGGAGTAGGGACAGGAGCAGGAGAAGCAGCTGCAAGGGCAAGGAGAGGGCCGGAAAAGAAGATAATGTGGATGGAAGGGTGGTGGTGACCGATTGTGAGTGTAAGCCGGGTGACTGTAACGATGAGACGAGGGGCCGCCGAGGCAGCACCAGCAGGAGCAGGTCGCCTGCGCCCTCCCTCTCGCCCTCCCCATCCATCCCCTCGCTATTGTCACTTGGCTTTGATGCTGTTGTGAGAAAACCCCTGCGGAAACCGGCACTGCTGGCGGCACTTCTGCCGCTGTTCCCTGTGGGCACGGAGCAAGGTGAGTGTGCTCAGGGGGACGGGGGAGGAGGAGGAGCAAGGGGAGGCAAGGACGAGGATGCAGCACAGGGAGGATCGAGGGAGGGAGACGAGGGGCATGCTGTGGGAAAGAGTGGTTTAGTGAAGTTCAGCCAAGATCCTTCCCACCACCAGCAGCAGCAGCAGCAGCAGCAGCAGCAGCAGCAGCAGCAGCAGCAACAGCAGCAGCAGCAACAGGAGCAACAGGTCTCGAAAAATACCCCACTCATATGCCACCGCCCAGTCAGTATAGACTGTAGCAGTGACAGTATCAATCGACAGGGGCAGGGGCAGAGGCAGTGGGGTGGTGCGGCATTGGAAATTCTGAGCCCATCGACTCTCCACAAGGCTGGCAGCAGTGCTGCAGCAGCCCTCTGGCGAGCTATGACATCCCCCCGAGCACTCATGTCCCCCCAGTCCCTCATTTCCCCTCAGTCACTCGATTCCCCTCGCTTGTTTAAGTTGCGCCCCTCTCACTCCCCCAACGCTTCCAATACTCCTACCACCCCCACCACCCCAACCACACCAACCACTCCCACGTCTGACTCGGCCAAAGCTATGGTACCGGCCCATCTGCCTCTCCACCTCCTCTCCCCTTCTGCTGCTGCTGCTGCTGCTGCTGCTGCTGCTGCTTCTGCTGCTGCTGCTGCTGCTGCTGCTGCTGCTGCTGCTGCTGCTGCTGCTGCTGCTGCTGCTGCTGCTGCTGCTGCTGCTGCTGCTGCTGCTGCTGCTGCTGCTGCTGCTGCTGCTGCTGCTGCTGCTGCTGCTGCTGCTGCTGCTGCTGCTGCTTCTGCTGCTGCTGCTACCGTCGGCCGTCAACGCTCCCTAGAGCCAGGGACCTTGTCCCTGCGTTCCGATGATGGTGCATCCAGGGACGAGGCTGTTCCAGACATGCATGGCCCAGACCGCAGGCTCCAGGTCTGTGAGGAAGAGACATCTATAGGAGGGCAGCAGCAGCAGCAGCAGCAGCAGCAGCAGCAGCAGGGCATGGATGGCAGCAGTGCCTCGTTGGCTAATCGATCTGCTTCCCTTGAGCACCTGGTAGAATCGTTTGCACCTGCTGCACCTGCTGCTACTGCTTCAGCAGGTTCGGCATCAGGTGCTGCTGCGTTGGCAGGTTCGGCATCAGGTGCTGCTGCGTTGGCAGGTTCGGCATCAAGTGCTGCTGCGTTGGCAGGTTCGGCATCAGGTGCTGCTGTTTCGGCAGGTTCGGCATCGGATGCTGCTGCTCCGTCAAATTTGGCGTTGGTTGGCAGTACAGTGGGTGGAGGTGGTAAGCTGACGGGAGGTAGGTCCCTTGGGAGAGGCAACAGTGCTGGGGAAGCAGCTGATTCAAGCAAGAGGGCGTGGATGCACGGCTCATCTGGGCAGTCCCGTGGAAGACAGAGTGATAAGAGGCATAGCGCGGGCATTAGCACGAGCACCAGTGATGCTGGTGGCGATGACGGTGGTGGTGGTGCTGCTGCAGCTGCAGCTGCAGCTGGTGCTGGTGGTGGTGTCAGAGTGAGTGGGTTTGAGAGTGTTATGGATTTTGCCGGGTTCTCTTCCCCCACTTCGTGTTCCTCGCTTGGCACACCATCCCCTGCCCTTACGCGCACACCATCGCCATCACTCTCACCAACCCCAGCACCAGCCCCAGCACCACCACCAGCAGCATTCCCAACAGCAGCACCGCCTGCAGCACCACCACCAGCATCATCATCATCATCATCATCATCATCCCCAGCACCGCCAGCAGCACCAGCTTTAGCAGCAGTGGCAGGGGAGCCGGCGACGGTAGGGGAGAGGTTGAGTGTGCTGTTGGGTCGGCGGGTGATGGTGGTGGATGACAATGTGATCAACCGCAAGGTGGCCAGCAAGCTGCTGGAGAGGCACGGCGCGCGAGTCACCGCCGTGGATGGCGGCATCAAGGCCCTTCACGCCCTCGCCCCGCCCCACCCCTACGATTTGGTCTTCATGGACCTCCAGGTGAGACCAGGGAAGTTGAGAGAATCATCAGGTGGCCTTTCAGGTGAGGGGAGGGCCATGAGGCACACACACCACCCCTGCAGGTGAGCCGAGGAGGCAAGGGGAAGATGTGTGGGAGGTGGGGAGATGGGCTTTAAGGTGGGCCAACCACCCCTTCCACCTCGTCCTCATGGATTAGCATCACAGCCCATGTGACCTAGGGTTCAGGAATGGCAGCATCAAGGCCTTCCATCCCTTCCATCCCTCCCATCCCTCCCATCCCTCCCATCCCTCCCATCCCTCCCATCCCTCCTATCCCTCCCTCCCACCCTCCCAGATGCCAGGCATGGATGGGCTGGAGGCGACTCGCAGGATCCGAGCGCGGGAGAGGGCTCAGGGCGGGGGGCATGTGGCCATCATTGCGCTCACAGCGGATGTGATTGCCGGCACGCGCCACCACTGCTTTGCCGTCGGCATGGATGACTACCTCTCCAAACCCCTCCACGACACCCACCTTGCCACCGCCGTCTGGCGCTGCCTCGCCAATACATTATGATTCATATGCACGAGCAGTTGTATGTATAGGCTTCGAAAAATGAAACACTACATAGTTGTTATTCATTACATACTGACCACTGTTAAGGTGCTACAGTGTTCAAATGAATGTCTTTCACTCTCAGCTTGAAAATGCACATTCTACTATCCAATATACACAAACCGCTGTTGCTGTAACGAGTCTGACATTTGTCTTGGTGTATGGTTTCTGCTGCTGCTGCGAAACTTTGTTATGTCGCACAGCGAAAGATGAGAGCCTCGGCCCAGTTCTGTTGCCCAGCGGTAAATGGAGGGCGGACAGCACAGCACCACTGGTGCGGCCGGGTGCTTCCGCGAAGCCAAGAACCACCCACGTTGGTGCGATTCAGCTTCCTGCCACCCTCCGCGCAACTGGAGGAGCTTCGTAAAAGTTTTGCTGTGCTGACCACTAAAATGTTTTCCGCGACGATAATTGGTGGGTTTGGAGCAATGCAGCCAACCAGTACCAAAAATAATTCTCTTCACCAATGGGACATTGCCCTCCCCCGTAACGTGTTTTTTTCGTGGCATTTGTCCCTGCCCGGAACTACTTGTGCTGTCCCTGGGTCCGCGATTCGAGCGGGAACCAGTCTCGCACCAGTCTCGCACCCAGTTTGCCTGGGATGAGGGGACAGCACAGCACTACTGGTTCAGCGTTCTTTTGCGCTTGGTAGGCCGCACAGCACAGCACAGCACTGGCCAGGTTCGGGAGAGAGTTCAAGGTCCCGAGCCTGATTCAAGGAATGCACCCTTGGAATGGAATCTTCGAGGATCACCGGTAGAGGCCCTCACGAAGCATCATCGAGTGCTGTGCGGAGGGGTCGGCACCAGTAGTGCGGCAACAGAACTGGGCCCTCGTCTCATTCCAAAACACTCGGATGGTTTTGCGCGAGACACGGCACCTGGAACGGAACCCACATCAACGGCGAGGGTACTCTCAGATTGTTTCAACAAGGGTGGTTTACGGCGTGGAACATCTGGAAATGTTCCCAAATGAACCGTCCCGCTCGAACGGTTGAAATGGTCTATTTTATAACCGCTACGCTGAAGTGAGTTCTAGTAAGTTTTAGAGCGGTATGTTTCCGAACCGTACTGTTAGCGTAGAAAACGAATCCCAGATGTTCCACGCCCTTAGTACGGCTGTATGCTCTTCACTTTGTCCAGTCAGATAAATAAGGTGGTTCTGCGGGGCTGCTCATTTTGTGTAGCGTGATTTGCGGCAGCTATGTTTGTACCAGTTTCTCCTGAGCGCTTCTGTACGGTCTACCATAGGCACATGCGGCGGAGAAGTGGGGAGGCTTCAGGAGAAAAAACACGACAAGCAAAGCAACACCAGCAGCCTTGCTGGCACACGCCGGAGTCATGCCACTGGCAGAACCACCAGTGACGGAATACAACCTAAAACGTTATAAGCGCCTTGTTTCCCGGAGATTATCTCATTCGTTTCACTCCGATTGATACTCTCCATTCTCTACTGGAAGGACAGCCGCGCCGCTACCATAGAACTACTTAGCCATCATGGCCCCCACGTCACTGCGACCTGCGTTCATCCTCGCTGGTACATATCGGATACGTGATTTGACCGCCGCTGGTCCTGCTAACACCCATAGTATCTCAGAAATCTCACTCGTAACAACCTTTTTTTTTTTTTTTTCGCCACGCGTCTCTTTTCGTGCAGTGCTGCTCTCTCTCACCTGCAACGCCATCGCCGCCTTCCGTCCGACTCCAAAAAGCCTGGAGGTTGACTACGAAGACAACGCTCTGTCCGTATGGAAATGTGTGTTCCAAAACCCGCTCTCTCTCAGTTTGATACGCACATACATCTCAGGCTGAGATCTGCTTTGCACATGCTCATCACGATGCTCCTCGCTTAACCGATATTGATAGAGTTTTTATCATTATGCGTTCGCCTTTTCCTCTGCCTTTTTCTCCCCCTGGCCCTTTCTCCCTCTACCGGCTCATCCCTCTTCGCGTGCGCGGCAGACCAAGCCTCATCGACGCTTTCTTCGAAAACGGGTGGTTTGACTGGCTCGTGCAACCTAAATGCTTCCGTGTAAGCGCCACATTCCGTTGAAAACTCACTACTAGTAGTACCCTGGACCCTGATTTCCTTCTCACAGCATTTGATGACTTTATTGGAACCCCGATTACTCACTCACGTTATCACGATGACCATTCATCCTGTCTCGTCCACGTTATCATGCTGAATGTGCAAATAGAGGCTCCCCACTAGAAGAAGCGAAGCTGTATTTGTGGGAGGGGCCTGGATCCTTGGGTTTCCACCAGCAGGACTGTCCTACAGTGACAATATCATAGGAACATCATGTGCTCTTGCATCTGCCTGTCACCCCAACCTCTCCCTCCTCCCCCTCGCCCCTCCCCCTCCCTCTCTCCCTCTCTCCCTTCTCCCCTCTCCCATTGCAGCACGGCCACTACCCAAACCACCTCGTTTGTCGTCCGCGTTATGGGCGCCAAAGGCGCGACCGCCGCATCTTTCTCCCCTCCCAGTTACTACAAAAACAGCACTGGGTCCCTTGTGGCCCAGTTCCCGTGCACCTTTCAAGCGGAAGCAACAAGCGGCAACTGGAACTGCACCATAAACGCATCGGTTCAGCTCGGTAAATATCAGCCTTTGCAGCCAGTCGGTGCTATCAAGTCGTTAGTTGACGCTGGGGTGTTCGGGAAACCCTCGGACTTCTATGTTGTGGTTAATGTTACCAGCGTGGCGGTGCTAAAGGGATCGATCACTGCAAGTGCCAAGGCCTACTGACAGATTGCATCTCGACAGGCTTCTCTCGCATCCGAGTCACCACCAGTGATGTGATTCGGAGTGAATTTACAGGGGCAGGCTCGTAAGTTCTGGCTGCCAGTTAGGAGAAAATTACTCGCTGTTGTTCGTATTAAAGCCCAAGACCTGAATTACAAGAAAAGGAAGGCAAACTGTGCACAGTTTGCCTTCCGAGCCCACAGTTGACTTCCCGAGCCTCTCTGGTTACCGAATGACGCCCCGCAAAACTGCAGAGAGTCGTAAGCCCAAAATTGGTTGGCGAGAGTCCCAACCGCTCCCTCCTGAAGGGAGTAGGGCAAGGCAAGCTGTGTACAGATTGGAAATTGTTGTAATTCAGGTCATGCTCGACCACATAGTAGTCACGTGAAACTCCTAGGTAGAGCAGAAAGCCAATAGAGCTGGAGCCCAATCCACCGGAAAAAAAAAAAAAAAAAAACACCAAACAGATTCTATGCGATGGCGCCGCTTTTTACTCAGCGTCGTCGTCGAAACCCTGCGCGACCGCGCAAACGACAGTTTGCGGCGCATGCATCTCCTCTCCGAGCTCGATAATAGGTAATCAAACGGTCGATCGCGGTCATTTCCCGCGCATTCGCCCTATGTTTGCCTCAGCTACATTCCCCTCCCGCGCTTCCTAGTCGACGTCACACCCTGCCACCCACGCTTTCCCTCGTCGCCGTCGCCGTCCCCTACGCTTCCCCCCACCGTCGCCCTCGCTTCCTCCCGCTGTCGCTCACACTTTACTCCGTCGTTGACCACGCTCCCCCTCCCGTCGCTTTCGCTTCCTCCCACCGTCGCCCTCGCTTCCTCCCACCGTCGCCCTTGCTTCCTCCCACCGTCGCCTTCGCTTCCTCCAACCGTCGCTTTCGCTTCCTCCCACCGTCGCCCTCGCTTCCTCCCACCGTCGCCCTCGCTTCCTCCCACCGTCGCCCTCGCTTCCTCCCACCGTCGCCCTCGCTTCCTCCCACCGTCGCCCTCGCTTCCTCCCACCGTCGCCCTCGCTTCCTCCCACCGTCGCCCTCGCTTCCTCCCACCGTCGCCCTCGCTTCCTCCCACCCTCCCCTACACTCCGCCGTCGTCATCACTTCCCTGCCTATCACGTTCACCCTCTTCGTCACACGTCGCCTCTCTCTCTCCCCCTATTCTACCTTCACCACTCCTACCGTCATCCATGGTTACCACCCCACACTTGAACCCTTCTCATTCTCTCACATTCTCCCTTCTCCCTTGCTTCTCGCCCACACTAAACGCAGAGATGTATGGCGCCTGGGCGCTGGGTATGGGGTCGTGAATTGTTCGCTGTGGGGTGTGTGAGGGTGCGTGGTGCGAAGGCTAGGGGAGAATGAAAGCTGATGGGGTGCGAGTCGAGGAGCACGCACCCTGCCCCTCACGCTGTGTCACTCACAACCCAATGGCAGCACAGCAAGCTTAGCAACCTCCTCCTCACTCTCGCACCAACCCCGCACACAGCCGGGGAAGCTCGTGCAGGCGGGCAGTGAGGAGCGCTGTGCACAAGGGGGCGAGGGGGTGGGGCAAGGGAGCGGGGGAGGCGTGGCAGGGGAGTGAGGGAGGGGGGAGTGGGGGAGGCGGGGCAGGGGAGTTGGGGAGGGGGGCAGGGGAGTGGGGGAGGGGAGGCTGGAAGCCGTCCCGTCTTCCTCCTCTTCCTCTTATTTGCCTTCTCCTGTCCGTCCTTCCACTCTCCATGCCTCCCTCCTCTCTTTCTCTCTCTTTCCCTCCTTCACTTCTCCTGTCCGCCCGTGCTCCCAGCCTCCCTCCTCCGTACCACTCTCCCACCCACTCTTTCTTTCATCCTCCTGCCTCTCTTCCACCCTGCCACTCTTCTTTTCAGACTGCCACCTTCCGAGCTTCTTTTAGTCCACCTTTCCGTCTCACCCACTTGTCCTCTCCCAACTTGATCCTCACATCCTCCCATCCCCCCTTCTCCCCTTCCACCCTCCAACCCTTGCGCTCATCCTCCCTTCGTCTCACCCTCCTTTTTTCTCATCCTCCCATCCTCCCTCTCTTCCCTCCCCCCTCCCTTCCTCCTGTCCTCCCTTCCTCCCTTCCTTTCTTCCTCTCTTCCACCCTCTGTCCTACTCTCTGCTTCAGTGTCTTTCTCCCCTCTCTTTCCCCTTTCCTCCCTCCCTTCATCTCATCCTCTCTTCCGCCCTTCCTCCTTGTCTCCCTTGCTCATTTCTCCCTCCTCATATTCCCTGTTCCCTGCGTCCCTCGCTGCCATCCTCCCTTCCTCTCAGCCTCCTCACTTCCTCTCGTCAACCATTCCTCCGCACCCTTCTACCCTGCCACGCCTATACACTCCTACCTTGTTCTAGGGGCTTGTTTCTTGTTGCCTGCCTGCCCTTGCATTGTCATTGTTTTGTATCCTTCCCCGCTGCTTCGACTCTTGGCACATTAGATTTTGTGGTTCGTGTTTGTGCAGGTCTGCCATGTATCTAGCTGTGATGCCTTCACTCTTTGATGATAGTGGTATGACAAATAGCCATGCCATGTATGTTGGATGCTTCTCATGATACAACACTTTGGGCCTCGGAGCAGCCATGTACGTGAGCACGACCATGAAATGCAACAAAGCAAGAGATTTTCTTCCTTACAGTTGTCGCCAGTGGACTACAGGCACAATGCACAAATCTGGAAGGTGGTAACTTTCCATCCCACTCCTGTTGGGACCCATGGTGCTGGGCACCTGTACAAGCATGGTTCTGTGATAGAACGGGGAGGGAAGAGTGGGTATGGCGAATAAGCAAGGGCTGGAGGTTGGAGGTACAGAAGGGCATGTATAGCTGTGGAGCGAAAGGCAGTGCGGATGGTGGTGGTGCTGCTGCTGCTCGAGCTGTTGCTGTTGCTCTAGGAGTTACAACTGCTGCTACTTCTGCTGCGCCAGCTGCGCGCCTTTCTCCCTCCCCCTCCTCCTCCTCCTCCTGCTGCCGTGTCAAGAGCGGCTCCCTCAGCACGTCCCCAGCACCGCCAGCACTCGCAGATGCGGGCACATGGGGTCCCTTGCGCGCCAAGTCAGAGGAGGCACCTTGCGCAGAGGGGCGTCGCGAGGAGCAGCGCTGTGACGCTGGTGCCAGGGAGGCTGCCAGACCCACCGGGCTGCGCAGGGCGGACGCACCAGCAGCACCAGCAGCAGCACTGCCTCCGGCACCTGTGCCTGCAGCTGGAGAAACGGGAGCAGCGGCGGCAGCAGGAGCAGCAGGCGCAGCAGTGAGAGTGAGTGCAGGAGGCGGGGGCGAGGCGCCAATGGTGAAGGCAGGAGAGGGCGGGGAGAAGGTGGATTGAGAGAACACCAGCCTGGCCCTTGCAGGCGCCAGCGCGACCGCCGAGTCAGAGGAGGGGGGGATAGAGCCGGGCGGAGGGTTACCCTCCCGTGCTGCTGGAAATCCCCCCCTGCTGCTGACCGCCCATGGGGCTGCTGCTGCCCCCCATGCCTTGCACTGCAAGGAACGCACCCGACGACGCACCACCGGCGCCCATGCTGCTGCTCCCCTCCGTCGCCCAGTACGCTCCCGAGGCACCCTCCATCGCACCACCGCCACCCGTGCCCATGCCCACGAGCAAGGGCATGGCTAGCGCGCCTCCCACTCCCCCTCCCCCTCCCCCTCCGCCTCCTCCTCCGCCTCTCAGCGAGGGAGCTGACGCGGCTGATGTCTGACAGCAGAGAGTCGTAGCTCTCACTCCGCTCCAACACACCCCGGCCCCCCCCCGCGTGCCCTCCCTCTCCCCCTCCCTCCCCCGCCTGTCCCCCCCCAGACGCGCCTCGTCCTCGGGGAAGCTGCCCAGCATCACTGCCCGCTCCTCCCTCCCCAAGCTCCGTGCGGGGGAAGCGAAGGCTCCGCGCGGGGAAGCGAAGGCTCCGCGCGGGGGAAGCGAAGGCTCCGTGCGGGGGAAGCGAAGGCTCCGCGCAGGGGAAGCGAAGGCTCCGCGCGGGGGAAGCGAAGGCTCCGCGCGGGGGAAGCGAAGGCTCCGCGCGGGGGAAGCGAAGGCGACGCGCGGGGAAATCGAAGGCGACGGGGGGGAGAAGCGAAGGCGACGGGCGGGATAAGAGAAGGCAACGGTCATCCGAAAGCGAAGGCGGCGACGGGCGGGGGAAGCGAAGGCGACGGGATGGGGCCGCGAATGCGATGGGCTGCGGAAGCGAAGGCGACGACGCGGGCGATGGACAGAGGAAGCGTGGGACCCGGGTGAAGGAAAGCGAGGGCGAGGGATGGTTACGCTTGGCCGAACGTGAGGGTTATGCGAAACCTGCATTTTTACACCATATCTCATCGCACGCCGCTCAATATCCTTACGCTTCGAACTCACATTCCACACCACACACCATCGCATCGCGCCTTGATCGCTCTAGAGTCAACGGCTACGCCCTGCCTACACGTATTCTATATTATGCCTAGTTTTAGTCTGCTGCTAGGATTGTCAAAGTGTGCACAATTTGGTAGGCACGCTCAACTCTGGTTGTGGGAAGCACGCCATTCATCACAGGTCTTCTTCCAAGCGACACAACTTTGTTGCAAACTGGTTTCGCGAGTGAAAGGGTTTCGCAGCCAAACCGAACCTCTTCCGAACCTAGTTTTTTGGCGTTGACTTCCGTTGAGTAATTCAGGTCTTGGGCTTTAAAGCAGCAGTATACATTTGACAGTACTGTTTGAGGATCTACAGTACGCACGGCGTTTTCGCCAAAACGAAAACAAAAGATTGGCGAGAGGGTTGGCGAAAATCTGAAGCGGGGAACCAGGGTTGGGTTGGGGGGTCACAACAAAATGGGAAACTCTCCCGTCACCAAGCTACGTTGCTACTCTCACACACTTGGCGATTGAATCAGCGACTACTAGTAATTTCGGCGACATAACTAACCATGCTGGGCTGGAGGCTGCTATACTAATAGCGCGACATCTCACATGGTCGGCTGGGAGTATCTACACATGTACAGATTAGGCTATGCCTCGAAAACGACCATCAATCGAGCCCCGCATCTCTCTTTCGGTTTGCCCCGCCGCTCTGCATTCGGACTGCCGCCGCGTGGCATTCGCCGAGCCCGCAGTGTATGCGGCGTGCCTGTCGTAACCTATTTCTTAGGCGCCACGGCTAGTCGCATTCGGCGGGATCGCTGCAATGCAATCGTTGCATTCAAAATCGACAAATTTGGTAAGGCAACTGTCTGCCCACCTTCCTGGCCCGCCGCGTTGCCCTCGGCGGGCTCAACGCGTTCAGGCCTGCGAGCTTAGCGCCTCACCCGCTTAGCGCCTCACCCGCTTAGCGGCTCACCCGCTTAGCGCGTCACCTGCTGCTCGCCTCACCTGCTTAGCGCGTCACCCGCTTAGCGCGTCACTCGCTTAGCGCCCCTCTGTCCCCTCCTTTCCGCCCCTGAATTCCCTCCTTTTCCCCCCCCTTGCTTCCCCTCCTTTCCCCCCCTTGCTTCTCCTCCTTTCCCCCCTTGCTTCCCCTCCTTCCCCCCCCCCTGATTCCCCTCCTTTCCGCCCCTGCTTCCCCTCCTTTCCCCCCCTTGCTTCCCCTCCTTTCCCCCCCTGCATTCCCTCCTTTTCCCCCTTTGCTTCCCCTCCTTTCCGCCCCTGCATTCCCTCCTTTCCCCTCCCTTGCTTCCCCTCCTTTTCCCCCCCTTGCTTCCCCTCCTTCCCCCCCCCCTGATTCCCCTCCTTTCCGCCCCTGCTTCCCCTCCTTTCCGCCCCTGAATTCCCTCCTTTTCCCCCCCCTTGCTTCCCCTCCTTTCCCCCCCTTGCTTCTCCTCCTTTCCCCCCTTGCTTCCCCTCCTTCCCCCCCCCCTGATTCCCCTCCTTTCCGCCCCTGCTTCCCCTCCTTTCCCCCCCTTGCTTCCCCTCCTTTCCCCCCCTTGCTTCCCCTCCTTTCCCCCCCTTGCTTCTCCTCCTTTCCCCCCTTGCTTCCCCTCCTTCCCCCCCCCCTGATTCCCCTCCTTTCCGCCCCTGCTTCCCCTCCTTTCCCCCCCTTGCTTCCCCTTCTTTCCCCCCCTGCATTCCCTCCTTTTCCCCCTTTGCTTCCCCTCCTTTCCGCCCCTGCATTCCCTCCTTTCCCCTCCCTTGCTTCCCCTCCTTTTCCCCCCCTTGCTTCCCCTCCTTCCCCCCCCCCTGATTCCCCTCCTTTCCGCCCCTGCTTCCCCTCCTTTCCGCCCCTGAATTCCCTCCTTTTCCCCCCCCTTGCTTCCCCTCCTTTCCCCCCCTTGCTTCTCCTCCTTTCCCCCCTTGCTTCCCCTCCTTCCCCCCCCCCTGATTCCCCTCCTTTCCGCCCCTGCTTCCCCTCCTTTCCCCCCCTTGCTTCCCCTCCTTTCCCCCCCTGCATTCCCTCCTTTTCCCCCTTTGCTTCCCCTCCTTTCCGCCCCTGCATTCCCTCCTTTTCCCCCCCTTGCTTCCCCTCCTTTCCCCCCCTTGCTTCTCCTCCTTTCCCCCCTTGCTTCCCCTCCTTCCCCCCCCCCCCTGATTCCCCTCCTTTTCCCCCCCTTGCTTCCCCTCCTTTCCCCCCCTGCATTCCCTCCTTTTCCCCCCCTTGCTTCCCCTCCTTTTCCCCCCTTGCTTCTCCTCCTTTCCCCCCTTGCTTCCCCTCCTCCCCCCCCCCCCCTGATTCCCCTCCTTTCCCCCCCTTGCTTCCCCTCCTTTCCCCCCTGCTTTTCCTCCTTTCCACCCCTACTTTCCTCCTTTTCCCCCTTTGTTTCCCTCCTTTCCCTCCGATCCCCCCCCCCCTTGTATCCCCTCTCCCCCCCGTGATTCCCCTGCTTTCCGCTGCTGCTTTGCCTCCTTTCCCCCACTGCATCCCTCATTTCCCCCACTGCATCCCTCCTTTCCCCTACTGCATCCCTCCTTTCCCCCACTGCATCCCTCCTTTTTCCCCACTGCATTCCTCCTTTCCCCCACTGCATCTCTCCTTTCCCCCACTGCATCCCTCCTTTCCCCCACTGCATCCCTCCTTTCCCCCCTGCTAGCACATCGTTCCTGCCTGACTTGAGGTCACTCCTCCCCACCCTTCCTTCCGATCTCTCCTGCCTTACACGCCATCTCATGTCTCTTCCTTCCCAACACCCTTATGTTCCTCACCATTTACCCTCTTTGCCTTCGCTTTTCCAGGCCCTTCCATCCCATCCCCCCTCTCGTCCCTTTCATCTCCCTGCCAACACACCTGTCAAGACACTGGCGTATGCACTGCAAGTGATGCAGGCACTGGCAGGGTGTGAGGTGCGGTGAGTCAGAGCGGTGGTGGTGTTGCCCACTCGAGACCAACTCACACCTACCTCAGCTCACTTTCCCAGCCGATGTTTAACCATCAACCTTCCTCTCCCACCATTGCCCCGCAATCTAACTTGTCTTTTTGCCCAACACACAATCCCGCTCTCCCCCTCTCCCTCTCTCGCCCTCCTCGCCCACGACCGTGCCATTCTGCCTACTCCAGCAGGTGAAGCACGTGTTTGACACCATGGCGCCAGCTGTCGGCCTCTCAATGGATCCCATCAACGGCCAATCATCACTCGCTGACGAGGCAATCCACCTGAGGGGCCCTTCACATCTCCACTCCCTGCCTTAACATCTCCACTCCCTGCCCTTCCCTTTTCCTGCCCCACCCTTCTCTTCCCGATCCCTTTTCCCTTCCCTTCCCTTGCATGCGCTCCCCTTCCCCCTCACCCACTTTTCCCTTCTGCCCCGCGGTGCTTGTGCATATGGTTCCCTTGTATGCTTGCTTGTATTCAGGGTCTGTTTCTCCTCTTCCGCCTCATAGCACGTCCCCACTGGGTCTTCACACAATCGTTTATGCCTACTCTGCTAATTGGTAGTGCTGAAACAGGGCAGCAGATGCAAACAAAGGCACAGCTTGTAGTGGATGGTGCTCAGAACTTTCGTATAGTCTCATGTGCGTTGTACGGTATTAGTGTGTTACTGCTAGAGATATTCGTCACAAAGCCCGCTATGTGCTACCACGATTTCAGCAGTGAAAATTATTCATCCAAGATGCGTGGACAGTGAAGGTGTCACATCACATACAGGTAGAAAGAAATATGTTCTCGCTAAGTCGAATACAGTACTATTGACCTTTCTCTAGCTTATTTGACATGAGATGGTGTGAGGCGAGTTGAAGCATGAAGATCTTCAGAGCAGTTGGTCACTGAAATACAGGTAGTCGGGGAGGGGGAGTATTTGATTCAACCATGGGCTGTGATGACAGAAGTGAGGAGGGGAAATGAGGGGAATCAGGGGGGGAAATGAAGGGAGGCAGGAGGGAGCAGGGGAGAATAAGGAGAAGCAGGCTTTGGAAGGGTTTCGGGAGGATGCAGGGAGGGGAGATGGGGATGCAGGGAGGGGAGATGGGGATGCAGGGAGGGGAGATGGGGATGCAGGGAGGGGAGATGGGGATGCAGGGAGGGGAGATGGGGATGCAGGGAGGGGAGATGGGGAAACATGCAGTGGATATGGGGAAGCAGGAAGGGGAGAGAGGTATGCAGGGCAGGGAGATGGGGATGCAGGGAGGGGAAGGGAAGAGGGGTTGAGGAGATGGGGAGGCGGGGTGGAGGGGTGAGGATGAAGAGGTCGGACGAAAGGGCAGAATGAGAGGAACTGAGAGGAAGGGGAGATGGGGAGGCGGGGTAGCGAGATGGTGAGGCGGGATGTGAAGAACAAAAGGGGGAGAAACAAAAGATGCGCAGAGAGGGTTGGCGCTGATGGGGGCAGTCCGGAGGGATGGAGGAGAAGGTAGGGGGGAGAGAGAAGGGAGGGAAGGGAGAGAAAGGAGGGAAGGGACGGAAAGGGAGGAAAGGGAGGAAAGGGAGGGAAGGGATAGAAGGTAGGGAAGGGAGGGAAGGGAGGGAAGGGAGAGAATGGAGGGAAAGGAGAGAAGGGAGGGAAGGGAGGGAAGGGAGGGAAGGGAGAGAAGGGGGAAGGGAGGGAAGGGAGGGCAGGGAGAGAAGGGAGGGAAGGGAGAGAAGGGAGGGAAGGGACGGAAAGGGAGGGAAGGGAGGGAAGGGAGAGAAGGGAGGGAAGGGAGGGAAGGGAGGGAAGGGAGAGAACGGAGGGAAAGGAAAGAAGGGAGGGAAGGGAGGGAAGGGAGGGAAGGGAGAGAAGGGAGGGAAGGGAGGGAAGGGAGGGAAGGGAGGGAAGGGAGGGAAGGGAGGGAAGGGAGGGAAGGGAGGGAAGGGAGGGAAGGGAGGGAAGGGAGAGAAGGGAGGGAAGGAGAGAAGGGAGGGAAGGGGGAGGAGGAGAAGGAGTGGGGGAGGACGAGAAGGCACGGCGGGAGGGGGAGGAGGCAGGGAGGGAGGAGGAGAGGGGGTGGCAGGAGGAGGAGAAGGCATGTTGGGAGGAGGAGAAGGGGTGGCGGGAGGAGGAGAAGGCATGGTGGGAGGAGGAGGAGGGGGTGGCAGGAGGAGGAGAAGGCATGGCGGGAGGAGGAGAGGGGGTGGCGGGAGGAGGAGAAGGCATGGTGAGAGGACGAGAACCTATGGCGAGAGGACGAGAGGGGGTGGCGGGAGGGGGAGAAGGCATGGCGGGAGGAGGAGAAGGGGAGAAATGAGGGCAAGCAGGGGAGAATTGAGGGCAAGCAGGGGAGAATTGAGGGCAAGCAGGGGAGAATTGAGGGCAAGCAGGGGAGAATTGAGGGCAAGCAGGGGAGAATTGAGGGCAAGCAGGGGAGAATTGAGGGCAAGCAGGGGAGAAATGAGGGCAAGCAGGGGAGAATTGAGGGCAAGCAGGGGAGAATTGAGGGCAAGCAGGGGAGAATTGAGGGCAAGCAGGGGAGAATTGAGGGCAAGCAGGGGAGAATTGAGGGCAAGCAGGGGAGAAATGAGGGCAAGCAGGGGAGAATTGAGGGCAAGCAGGGGAGAAATGAGGGCAAGCAGGGGAGAATTGAGGGCAAGCAGGGGAGAATTGAGGGCAAGCAGGGGAGAATTGAGGGCAAGCAGGGGAGAATTGAGGGCAAGCAGGGGAGAATTGAGGGCAAGCAGGGGAGAATTGAGGGCAAGCAGGGGGGGAAATGCGATCGTGCAAAGGGGGAAAATAAGGCGTACAAGGGAGAAAATGAGGGCGTGCAAGGTGGGGAAACGAGGGCAAGCAGGGAGGGAAAACGAGGGCGTACATGTGGGGCAGTGAGGGCATTCAGGGGGGGCTTTTGAGGGCGTGCAGCAGGGATGCGGAAGCACAGCCGTTGCAAGAGAGTGAGAGAGGGCCGAGGGCCTTATTCGAGTGCAGCTCGCGAAAGGAGGCCGCCGCGAGACGCGGAGAGGCAGCGAGGGGAGGCATGCTAGATGCGCATGCTAGATGCGCATGCTAGATGCGCATGCGCGGGAAGGCGAGGAGGAAACGCGTGGAGGCGAGAGGAGCAGGCGCGGGGAGGCGAGAGGAGCAGGCGCGGGGAGGCTAGAGGAGCAGGCGTGGGGAGGCGAGCGGAGAACGCGCGGCAAGGCGAGAGGAGGCCGCGCGTGGAGGCGAGAGGAGGCCGCGTGGTGAGGCGAGAGTCGAGCGCGCGGGGAGGCGTGAGGAGGAAGCGCGGGGGGAAAGCGAGAGGAGAGCGCGGGGATGCGAGAGGAGCACGCCCGGGGAGGCGAAAGGAGAATTCGAACCGGGAGGCCATAGGAGCAGGAATGGGTAAGGCGGCGGAATGGGGATTGCGGGCGGAAATGAGGTTGCGGAAAAGGGGATTCCAGTGCTCTGGAACGAGGGCGTGCAAGGAGGGAAACGAACGAGGCAGCGTGGTTCGGCGAGGGGAGACTCACTCCGGACGTCGTCCAGCGAAAGGCGAACGACGGAAGGCGAACGTGAAAGGAAGGGCACGCGAGCGGCGAGGCGTCCAGCAGCGGCTCACCGCGCGCGGCGAACGGCGGACGGCGAGCTAGGAGTGGAGGACGGGATGGGATGGCAGATGCTAGCGCGTCGAGGCTAAGCAGGACTCTGTGGGGAGGGGAGGCGCTGGCGCTAATGGCCTCGCGGTGAGGCAGCGAGAGGAGGCGTGGGGCGGCCTTGTCTAAGGTGGCGTGGTCTAAGCGAGTGCGTACGAATGGGCAATTTGTCCGCACATGCGCTTGAACAGTGTTACGCGGTTCAATAAATAATTCTGTCCCTAAATCCAGCGGTTAGGTTAGAACGTTGCCCAGTCTACGGGGAATCAGCTGCCGAAGTAGGAGCTTGTGGGCTATCCTCTCACTACTGCAGTTTCAGTTTCCTTTTGCAATTCCTTAGGTTTTGAACTGTGAGTGCGGGGAGCTGGACGTGGGGCGTTTGGGGACTCACTTCGCTTGTGAAGCGGGGGGTTGGGGTTGTAATCGCGTAACCAGTTTTTCAAGTTCCTAAGGTTTTTGAAACTCCTGCTTGCAAAAGTATACTGTTGCTTTAAAAGGCCTGCACAAGACACATGTGGCAATGATAATTATTAAATCAGAAGGCACACCACCACCAGAGGCTGCTGAAAGACGTACCTCCCTCAAATGGTAACTCTGAAATGAACCCAGAGAGCCATACCTGTCATGATAGAATCCAGAGAGCTGTGTCACAGGTGATTACCGTATATTGTACGCTTAGGCCCGCCATTGACCAACGGCATGTCCCTTTTCCGTGGTGTATGCATATTGTCACGTGTATGTTTTAGCTTTAACTACCTTGCATGTGCATCTGTTCAATATGCAATTAAAATACATACGGTAGCACGTGTATGTAAGGACTCGCAAAAAAAAAAAAGGCATACCGAGCACAACTTTACACGGTGTAACGATGATGTTCTTATGCTGTATTTATGAACCGATGATGCGGATTCTGTTTTCGCAACAGGTAACTCCCAGATAATTTTGCGCGAGACGCGGCGCGCTGATCCATCTCGTCGACCGACTTGGGATTCGAAAGGTGTCTCGTCATACAGCGTGGTGTACTGTAGTCCAATTCTGCACGCCTGGTCGAGTACAATATCAAAACGGTTGAGCAGGGTTCGGTGGATATATTCAATTCGTCCCAGCAAGCGGCCCCTTTTCCCATTGCGCTGTTTGCGGCGGCAAATTTGGACTTCACCTGACTGAGCACTTGAGATTTCCTGAATGCTTCCCGCGCATTCTGCGAGAGGCATACGACGCGGCGAAATAGGTTGCATTAGGACGCGTCACCTGAAGCGGATCGGCCAAGGATCGGCCGATCCGCACTGATCTTCATTTTGAGCCCAGGCTCGGCAGCGATTGGTGCCCGGGACTGCAAAACTACAATGGCAGCTGCCACACCGATATACAGGTGACAGGTTTGGTTGGGCAGGTTTGGGGTCTGGGGTACCCAACCTGCGACAACCAGGCCCTACGATATCATGAATTTTTCCCTGAAATTCCTGATTTCCATGGATTTTTTTGTACCTACCCTGATTTTCCAGTGTTCAGCTTTTTGGGGGACTGATTTTTCAGCCTTTAGGGGCCAGATGACTCTGAACTTTCAGGTTTTTTTTTTTAAGGGACACTGATTACACTACGTTGTAACAAAACTGACACTGAATGCGATTCCTACACGTTCCGAGTGTAGTTGCCCAGAAGTACAGGGAATCTCAGATTCCCGCCCGCGGTGTCAGCACCGCCTGGCGGTGACTACCAGACAAATTTGCCCCGTGTTATTCACTTTGAGGGCTGCTTTGTTGGCGCGCTTGGTCCGATCATTGGCCCCGTAAATGAACCCTCTTGAGGGCTGCTTTGTGTCAGAATACTAGGCAAGAATCAGAAACAGGAAAGAAGGGTTTTCACTAGCAGGCAGTTGAGTACATATAGCAAACCCTAATTTGGGCTGTACTCGCTATAGAGTACCCCACTGCAGGCTAGACAAACATCACATTCTGACGCACCCCCATAGTCAAAGTGGGGTATAATCAGCACAACAAGCAGACAGAGCAATAGTTCACAATGATAAGCAAAGCTAGAGGCTATCACAGAGGGCAAGTGAGGAGGAGGAGAAACTGTGAGGGGCGAGAAGATGAGAGGTGACGGCTGAAGCTGCAGACACACGGACAACAGGAGTGCGCAGCACTGACGCTACCAGGCTAAACCCGGGCTACACGGCGACAGGCGCAGCTGGCTCACTGTGCTCCCAGGAGTGCTCACACTGCGGCTATCGGGCGCAGAGCCCCGGACTACACGGCCACAGGGGGTCGTGACTCTCTGGACTACCAGGAGTGCTCACACTGTGGCTACCAGGCGCAGAGCCCCGGACTACACGGCCACAGGGGGTCGTGGCTCTCTGGACTTCAGGCGCTGCGGACGACAAGTCGGCTACCTCCGGTCAACCTCCCCCAACTGTCCCACACCCCTTTCACACACCCCCTGCTGAACCACTAGCACCGCTCACACACCACCCCCCTCGTATCACTCCGACGGCTCCAACACATCCACCCCCCTCAGCGGCAGCTGCAGCAGTGGGAGACGGAGGAGGAGGAGGAGGAGCAGGGGACGGCGCACACACCCGTCACCCCCACACTCGCCACCCCCACACTCGCCATCCCCAAACCCTAACACAGGCAGCAGCGGGGGGCGGTGCGCGGGCAGCAGCTCGAGGGATGGCGCGCGGCTCGGGCAGCAGCTGGACGGGCCGCGCACGGGCCTGGCGCGGGCCATACGAAACGCGCGCGGGCTGCCCGGGCCGCGCGCGGGCCTGGCACAGCCCGTACGAGCCGCGCGCGGGCCTGGCGCAGGCCATACGGGCCGCGCGCGGGCCAGGCGCAGGTCGCGCGGGCCGCGTCGGGCGACGGGGGGCGACGCGTGGGTCTCCGGGGGCGCGGCGGCGGGCGACGGGGGCGACGCGCGGGTCGACGGGGCAGGAAACCGCCGCGCGCTCCCGGGGCGCGCGGCGGGCAGGGGGCGCGCGGCGGGAAGAAAAACGCAGCGCGCCCCGAGCGCGCGGCAGGCAGAAAGCGACGCGCGCCCGAGGCGCGCGACAGGCAGGACAGCAGCGGAAGCTAACGGTGGGCCCATCCACAGGATCGACCCAGGAGGGTCGACCTGCTCTGATAGCATGTTAGAATACTAGACAAGAATCAGAAACAGGAAAGAAGGGTTTTCACTAGCAGTCAGTTGAGTACATATAGTAAACCCTAATTTGGGCTATACTCGCTATAGAGTACCCCACTGCAGGCTAGACAAACATCACATCCTGACACTTTGTTGGCGCGCTTGCTAGCTAGTTAGTGTTATCTTATTTAAAGTTCAATATCAGCCTTTACAAAAAGGGAACACTTATGCATCATACTTTTTTTTAAGGTAACAGTGAATTTTCAGGCTTTTTTTTTTTGGGACACTGGTGATCAGGGATTCTACATAGAGGGACCCTGATGCATTAACGTGCCTAAAAGTGAATCATAGGCCCTGGCGACAACTCCTCTGGGGTCGCACGCGACGAACGAGAAGGTGTCGCATGTGCGCGAACAATGTAACCCTTTGTTTGCGAAGTCGCTCAGTGACTTTGCGACGAGGATCTAAGGCGATCGATAGTGCCTGTCACCCCTGGCGCGAAGTCCCACACCACGCCCCCCAACCCCACGATCGATATGGGACCTCCCTATATCGATCTGGGGTTGTACAGGTGACAGAATCAAAAGTACATTTGTACTGTACATTCGTTAACATCCGCGACATCAGGTTACCTGGTTGATTACGACGCTATAGTGGTACACCCCACGCGCAAAACCGAACCTACAGCCGATCGATCCGCTTCAGGAGACGCGTCCTTAGGGTTCAGGAGTAACAACGAGAAGCAAAGCCGCAGCCAGTGGCGTTTGCCTGTACATCACGCCGAGTTATGACGCCAGTGACGCCATACAACCCAAAGCGCAAGGCAAGCACCAGCTCGCTGGAAAGATGGGGTGAAGGCACCTGAAGCGTCGGAGACCGCCGCCTGGCGCTCCCCGTCCCTCCTTCCTGCCTGATCGTTGAGCCTGACTAGCGCTTTCCACGCCTCGTAGCGCTGCATCACTGAGACCGCATAGCCCTTGAGTCATCCGTACGCGGATGTTTTATCCTACCGAGTACTACTAGCCCTCTCGACTGGCTATGAAGCTCACATGCTATTCCTGGAGTTTATATCATTCGTGTCACACCGTTCGAGCTCCATTCTCTTCTGTAAGGACAGACCCGTATACACGTCATCACACGCAATTGGCTCTAGTAGAACTACTTCCCTGCGACCACTGCAGGGATTCTCTTAGATTTCTAAAAACATCATCGCAATTGGCTCTAGTAGAACTACTTCTCTGCGACCACCACTAGCAGCAACCATGACGCACACGTCGCTGCGACCTGCGTTCGTCTTCGCAGGTGAGCTCCTGATACGTGATCCCCCCGTTGTTCCCTGTTACTCACTATGATACAGACGCCTGGCCGCCTGTCGCTGATCACCCTGGCCATTAAACTGCTGCTTCGTGCTCAATCTGCTCGCACGCCCTGCGATGCTTTTCGCAAAGAAAACAAAAACACGCCCGTGATTTGCTCCCAACTAGGTCGACGAAACAGGACCAACACTGTTCAGCGATGAGCAACCACGACGAGGAAATACTAGATCTGACTAAATATGTGAAGCTCTCAAATAACTCCTAACAATCATAATATATTTTGCTGTCGTTCTTTCCGTGCAGTGCTGCTCTCTCTCGCCTGCGGCGCCATCGCCGGCCGTCATCTGCTCCAAACCCCCAACACACGCTGTACGACGACACTCTCTTGTTGCTTGCCTCACTGTCTTGTTGCGCGCCGCACTGCATTGTTGCGCGCCGCACTGCATTGTTGCGCGCCGCACTGCATTGTTGCGCGCCGCCATCTGCTCCAAACCCCCAACACACGCTGTACGACGACCCTTTTGTTATCACTCGTCGAGTGACTCACTCACTCATCGGATGCACTCGCTCTCCTTTACACATGCTTCCAACTTGGTTGAACCTGCTCCCTCCTTTGCACGCGCTCTCTTGTTGATCCCGCTTAACATTTTCATGCTTTTCTTTCGACCTTTCTCCGGGCTTGTTCCCCCTCTACGTGCTTATTCCTCTCCGCGTTGCGCAGACCAAGTCTCATCGACTCTTGCAAAAACGGGCTCCATGGCTGGCTCGTGCAATGTGGATGTTACCGTGTAAGCGCCAAATCGTTTTTCTTCTCATACCGTTGATGAAATATTTCCCCATTATATCCTCATACCGTTGGTCACGATGACTGGCTCGCTCGTGCACCCTGGATGCTTCCGTGTAAGCGCCAAACTCCATTGATCACTCACTACCCGAAACCCCAACCTCGATTTTCATCTTGGCAACTCGTTCACGTTGTCACGCTGAACGTGCAAAAGACAGCCTCTCCGCTGGAAGCGAAGCTGTATTTGTAGCAGCAGCCTAACTTACTGTTCGCATGTGCTCTCGCATACGTCTGTCTTCCCTAACCCCCTCCCCTCTCCCCTCCTTCCCCTCTCCCCTTGCAGCGCGGCAACTTCCCAAACCACATCCTTCGCTTGTAGCGTTACGGGCGTAACAGGGGCGGCCCCGACTTTCTCCTCGCCTTCTTACTACAATCTCAACAATGATTTCTTCGTAACCGGGTTTCCGTGCAAATTTGCGGTGGTAGCCAACGGCGTTTGGAATTGCACCCGCAACCAGAAGTTTCTACTCGCTCCAAATGCGCCTTACGTGCCAACCGCGCAGCTCAAGTCGTTGGTCGACGCTGGGTTGTTCGCGAAACCAACTGACTTCTATCTCATGGTTAAAGTTAACAACGTGGAGGTAAGGGGGTCGATCACACCATCCGCGGTATGAGATATCTCGATATCCGCGTCAGTTCGGGGCTGCCAGTGGTAGAGAAACGTATCCACAGTGTGTGGAACATCCTTATTCTGATTAACCATGCCCTGTGATGTTGCTTCCTTGCAAGCTGCCCCCTTCTCCTCGTCTGCCCTCTCCTCTGGTATTGAGGCCTGGAGCCTTTCTTGTACCCATGTCTCAATATAAGAGCTTTACATGCCTTGCAATGTGTGTGCAAGAGATATAATGATGATATCTAAACAAAAGACAGACTGCTGAAATTCTGACTGCAATCCTCATAGAATTCTTGATTGTGAGTGCGCCTCAATACGGTATTGCAAATGCACAGGTGACAGATTGGGGTGTTCGAAGAGTGTTTGAAGTTCATTTCTCAGAGTAGAGTTGAGGGGAATGCTCAATGCAGGAGCTTCTCTAGGTTATCTGCATCGAAAAAACAAACTAACCGAGACAAGTGTTTATGTATTACTACCGGTACCTAGAATAACACCGCCTATAATGTAAGGGCCTTGACAAGTACCTCCAAGGCACCCTCACCTCACCCGCGTTGGTGTGCGTGTTGCAAGCACCTTAGATTCCAGGGCCATTCTGTCAAACCACAAATATGCATGCTAGTCTATTGTGGGGCACACACTAGGGGGTATAACATATTTATGGTTAGTACTTGTACGGAAAATGCATATAGGTGCACCATTCCGAGCATTAGCGCATGCAGCAAATGAAGGGGTGCACCTATATTCGGGGGATTAATGTACACCCATGTCTGCTATTGTTTTTTAATCAACAAAATTGTATATACAACAGTAACTTGTTATACCGAACAGCGAATTTGTTGGGGACCCCTTTTTCTCCCAACAACAATTACTTGGCGGGAGATGCGGCGCCTGGAACGACGCATGGCTCCCGTCCCGTGCCGTTGTCCTATCCAGATCGACCCTGCACGCTTTAGAACGTCTTATTGTGAGTTTAGAACGGTCTAACGAGGTTCGGCGAGTGATAACCTCGTTCGAAGAAGTTGTGAACCCCTTCCCTAGCTGCGCGAAATGCGGCAGCAAATTCTGGGCTTTCCCGAACTGAACCCTTCGAATTTCCTAAATGCTGCGGTGCGGTCTTCCTGAGCCACATGCGCCGAAATGGGATTTGGAGCATCAGGAGGAGGATTCAGGAGAAAAGAGAAGCGAAGCGAAGGAGCACGATATAGCGCGCGAAAATGTGTTCGTTTATTGGTGACGCATTACCCAGGCGCAAGGCAACAACCAGATCTGAGACCTTGAAAGAGTAGCACCTGAGACCGCCGTCCCCAGTTGCGGTCCCCGAGTGTCGATGGCATCTGACAAGACTCCTCCTTATCTAGCAGTTGTGACTTAGCAGCGAGTTCTACGTCAAATTGCTAGCGCCGTTTCTCCCTCCTGGCTGATAATAACCTGACGAGTAGCGCCTGCCACGCCGATTCGTTGCGACCACTTACTGTAGCCCTTCAAACCTCTTTACGCGCGGCTGTTTTATCGAGCAGTCATCTCTAGTGGCTATAAAGCACCTAGTTTTTCATTCAGCTTATCATCTCATTCATTTCATTCCGTCGGAGCCTCTCCAGTTTCTTTCTGTAAACAGCGTCCTAATTCGCTGCACCACCCGCAATTACCAACCCTAGTATCTCACTTAGCAGCCATGGCTCTCACCTATCTGCGACCCGCGTTCGTCCTCGCTGGTGAGTTTCTAACACACTGACCGCAGCTCGTCCTCGCTAGTAGTAAGATGACACTGAGCCCCGCCTGACCGCATGTTGCTGGTCTCCCTGGTCGCGAAATTGTTGCTTCGTGCTGGAATCTGCTTGCCCGCTCTGCGATATCCCGTTAGATTTCCGCGATTTTCTCACCAAGTCGGGAAAATATTTAGGATCAATAACCTTGAAGCAATCATTTTGAGGTTGAAATGTGAACCAATTTTCAGGAATTTCGACTACTAAATGACAACCCTAATTTCCTTGTGCACGTTGCTCTGCGCAGTGCTGCTCTCTCTCACCTGCAGCGCCATCGCCAGCCGTCATCTGCTCCTAACCTCCAACACACACTGTACGCCGAACTATCTTGCTGTACTGACTCCCTTGTTTTGTACGCTATCCTTTTTCGACGCATTATCATCACGTTCAATACACGAATACCAGTCTCATGCTCCTTCGCTTATGCTGACAATCGTATTCCGTGGCTTCTCCCTTGGCTGGTTCTCCGTTCCTTCTTCCGTCCACCGACCCCTTGTTGTGGTTCTCCATTCTCCGTGGCGCGCAGATCGAGCAACGTCCAAGCCTCTCTCAATCGATGGTAGTTTGACTGGCGTGTGTATCCTCGATGCTAACCTGTAAGCGCCACTTCATGTGTGCATTTTAACTGCTTTTCGTAACGTTTGTTATTTATTTTCACTGACTACGCCGTGACACTGCATTCACGTTATCACTAAAACGTGCATAGGGCTCCGCACAAGCAGCGAAAGCTGCACTCGTAACAGCAGCGAAAGCTGCACTCATAACAGCAGCTTACAACCCTCGGAAAATTACTCGTTTATCCTTCAAACTGTTAGCATGACTAGCATGAGTGAACCTGCAGGACCGAATTTTCTATCCCTGCTCTCGCATCTGCCTGTCTCCCCCAACCCCCTTCCCCCTCCCCCTCCCCCCTCTCCCCTTGCAGCACGTCCACTACCCAAGTTCAATTATTCTCGTTCCGCGTTTTCGGCGTACCCACCACGAATCCAACATTCTCCACTCCTGGTTATTTCAGACTCAGCACCAAATTAGGCGTAACGCAGTTCCCCTGCACATTCCAGCCGGAAACAACACCCGGCAATTGGAACTGCACCATCAGAGGAAAGGCTTTGCTCAATTCGGCTTTCCAGCCAGTTGGTGCCATCAAGACGCTAGTTGACGCTGGGTTGTTCACAAACCCCGCGGACTTCTTTGTTTCGGTTGGAGTTAGCGGCGTCACCGTGAAGGGGGCCATCATCCAAGCAACTGTGACTTAGACATTCGCATCGCTAGCGTCGGGTTTGGCAAGAACCACCAAGGACCGACTCAATTGGTTTTGAGTTGCTGCCTACAGAATGATATGTTGGCCATTGCACCTGGAAAACTACTTGGTTTATGCAATTTCATGTCCGCCCAATGAGACTAACGAGGGTCCGCATTTGCCGTTGGGGGTTTTCGGGTTTAGGCTTTGAACCAGGCTTGCCAGCTCGAAAGTGTGAGTTGGCGAAAATTCTGAATTTCGTGCAAACACTTTTCTTCCGCAGTTCCACTTCGCCAGGATTTCGGGTTTCGGGAGTTAATAGTTGGAAAAACAAAAATCTGACCAATGAGACCCCAAGCAACTTCATGTACCGTAGTAGATACGGTAGCGCGTATATGAAAGACAAAATAATTGAAATCAGCAACGTTTCCAAGTTCCAGCACCATCTGTTCTGTACATCACAATCTGCATAACTACCCAATTTCCTAGAGAGGAAGGCTGGCTGGCTGCTGTATTTAATCCCTCCCCCCCCCCCCCCCCCCCCCCCCCCTCCTCCCCAAAGCCTTCATTTAATATATAAGCAGCATAGAAAATACGCCTCCATTGTCGTTGAAAATCACCTTCACTCCTTCCCCTCATATCACCTTCACTCCTTCCCCTCACTGAAGTCACCTCCCCCGCCTCAGCACCACCCCGTGAAGTCACCTCCCCCGCCTCAGCACCACCCCCTGCCTCTCTCTCTCCTCCTTCCTCTGCTGAAATGCTGCGACCTGCTTCTCCAACTGAGCCACCCACACGTGAGGAGAGGGAATGGGGCGGAGGGGGGGGGGGGGGGGGGGGAAGGGGAGTGGAGGGGGAGAGAAACATGGGAAAGAAAAGGAATGGGGAAATAGTAGGGGTCAGAAAGACGATAGGGTTCTCTCTCCCCCTTCCTCTGCTGCAATGCCGCCACCTGCTTCTCCAACTAAAGAAGCCCACATGGGGACGGAGGGAGGGGGGGAGCGGGGGATGGGAAGGCGGGAGAAACACGGGAAAGGGGAGGTGGGGGCAGAGCAGGGGTCAGAAAGGACAATAGGGTTCTCTCTTCCTTCCTTTGCTGGAATGCTACCACCTGCTTCCCCAACTGAAGCAACCCACATGTGGACGGAGGGAGGGGGGGATGGGGAGGGCAGGGAGAGGAGTGGAAAAGGGGAGGAGGGTTTAAGGAAGGTTGAAGGGTGAAAAGGAAAGGGGAGGGCAAGAGAACTTCGTGATTGTCGGGGGAAAGGGAAGAGCAGGGGCCAGAAAAGACTGTATGATTCAGAGAAGGGAAACAGAATTTGCCAGAAAACCTCTTGGCATTTCATATTGCCTCACCCGTTACGTTTACTGGACTCACTTCAATCTTGGCTGCTACAGGTCCACCTGAGAGGCGTGCTGCGGTTGGCACGATGACAACTTTTGAGGCGCCTCAAAAGTAGACGCCTCGAAAATCGTTGCAGATCCACCTGAGAGGTGTGTTGCGGTTAGCACCATGACAAACCAGACTCGTCTGGGCAGTCCGGTTGAATGCAAAGGATGCAACGGACTCAGCATTGTGACAAGTTGACACTCACCTTTAACTGCACTGAACTGTGCGGTTCGGGTGTATGATGTATCAGCTATTGTGATGCCAACACTACAACACAAACCTGGGCGTTGCGGTTGCGGTAGGTGATGACGTTATATACCAGCGTGGCCACTTTATTGTTGTTGTGGTGTTGTCTTGGAGAGTTACAGACAAACTCCTGCAACAACAACAGCCCCAAGCCGCACCACTCTCTCACCTGCGCGTTGCGGTTGCGGTAGGTGATGACATTATCCACCAGCGTGGGCACTTTGCTGTCGTGGACCTCTGTTTGCGCACTGTATGCAACACAAAGGGCCCAAGGAAAGCCGCACCACTCTCTCACCTGCGCGTTGCGGTTGCGGTAGGTGATGACATTATCCACCAGCGTGGGCACTTTGCTGTCGTGGACCTCTGTTTGCGCACTGTATGCAACACAAAGGGCCCAAGCAAAGCTGCACCACTCTCTCACCTGGGCGTTGCGGTTGCGGTAGGTGATGACATTATCCACCAGCGTGGCCACCTTGCACCTCATCTCCGCTATCTGCTGCATCAGCTATTAAGGTGCCTACGCCACACGACAAGCGGCACTCAAGACAAACCTGGGCGTTGCGGTTGCGGTAGGTGATAACGTTATCCATCAGCGTGGCCACTTTGCACCTCATCTCCGCTATCTGCTGCATCCGCTGGGCATTGCGGTTGCTTTGAGACCTCTCAGAAGCAACTCACTTGCGCGTTGCGCTTGCGGTAGGTGATAACATTATCCACCAGCGTGGCCACTTTGCACCTCATCTCCGCTATCTGCTGCATCAGCTCACGCTCCCTCTCTGATGGCAGCTCCACCTGCATACATGCACGCATGGCATTGGAATAAGGCATGACCAGGGTGACAATAAGGAAGGTGACAGTAACCCAATCATAGTTCAGACCCAATCTGCTACATCAGCTCTCGCTCCCTCTCTGATGGCAGCTCCACCTGCGTGCATGCATGCATGCATGCATGCATGCATGCATGCATGCATGGCATTGGAAGAACGAACGATCAGGGTGACAACTACAAAGGTGGAATGACGACACGACAATATCGAAGCTCGCTGAAGCGGAAGAGCATGTGGCGTACCTTGATGCCTCCCAGCAGCGCCGCTGATTGTTGGGAGTCACTTTTGAGAATTCATAAAAGTGACTCTTGAATGGAAGAGCATGTGGCGTACCTTGATGCCTCCCAGCAGCGCCGCTGACTGCTCTGGACTCTTAATCTCTGAAAGAGGGAAAAAGGCAAGGATGCAGAGAGATGGAGATGGCAGAGGGAGAGAGCACAGAAGGGCATGAAAGGCTTTGAGGCACCTCAAATGTCTTGTATCGACCATGCTAGGGGAGCATCAGAAGGGGATGGATGGGACGTTACACATACGACTTGGTCTCACTACAAGCAGTGAGAGGCGTAATACGAGCGAGTGCTGACTAAATTGAGGCTCCTGAGAAAGAAGTGACTTTTGAGTCGACTCAAAAGTCACCTTGGTCTCACTACAAGCAGTGAGAGGCGTAATACGAGCGAGTGCTGACTAAATCAAGGCTCCTAAAGAAGGCCAGCATGAGCAGGAGGAACGGAAAGCAGTAAAGGGCATAGAAGTGAGTGAGCATGCCAACATGCTGACATGGATCTCACCTGGATGTGCGTCTGAGAGCTCTTTGATTAGCGTGAAGAGCACCTTTTGAGGCGCCTCAAAAGACCACTTTTTCTTAGGAGTCTCAAATCCGCGAGGCATGAGACGAGACGACTCTCTCACCTGGATGTGCGTCTGAGAGCTCTTTGATTAGCGTGAAGAGAACCTCCTGTGGTTCAACAGTGCGTGGAAACACATGGCAATGGAGGGCAGGACATGGGAATGCATTGAAACACATGGCAAACACAAGACACATGCGAACAGAACGGCTCTTCATAATTCTTAGAGATTTTCCACAAGAACCTCCAGTGCATCAGCAACACAAGGCACATACGAACAAAAACATTTTATGAAAAGGGAGGAAACGAGAGAGACACGCACGAGAACAAGATAGCTGCTGAGAGGAGAGGTACTGAGAGAGAGCCTTAAGCAGGAGGTATCATTTCATGTATCGGACACAGCGGCAGCAGAGGGGGCTGAGAGGCTCGTGGCAGCAGAGAGAGCCGTGATGGCAGGCGTGTCATAGCACATAGCACATATCACATAGCACATAGCACATAGCAGAGGAGAGCACAGCACAGCACAGCACAGAAGAGCAGAGCAGAGAACACCACAGCGCAGAAAAGCAGAGCTGAGCACAGCACAGCGCAGAAGAGAAGAGCAGAGTGTATTGTACCTGCTGCTCCGAAGCATGCTTGAGTAACGCTCTCAAGTGGGGAACCACAATAAGAGCATCGGAGACAGCGGAGGCAGAGGAGGCAGAGGAGCGAGCAGGTGCAGAGAGGATGGTGGAGGGCAGCGAATGCACCGATGGTAGGGATGCTCGGCCTGAGGGCTGCAGGGAGGGGTGGGTGGTGAAGCATGAACAGTAAAGAGGGAAAGGGAGTTGTTTAGGCGCCCTGAGAACCAAGGGCAGAGAGGATGGTGGAGGGCAGCGAGTGCACCGACGGTAGGGATGCTCGGCCTGAGGGCTGCAGGGAGGAGGGGTGGGTGGGTGAAGATGAACTGTAGAGAGGGAGATAGCCATTTAGGAGTCCTGAGAAGCAAGGGCAGAGAGGATGGTGGAGGGCAGCGAGTGCACCGACGGTAGGGATGCTCGGCCTGAAGGCTGCAGGGAGGGGTGGGTGGTGAAGCATGAACAGTAGAGAGGGAGAGGGCTGTTAGGCGCCACAAGAAGCAAGGTCAGTGAGGAGGATGGTGGAAGGCAGCGAGTGCACCGATGGGAGGGATGCTCGGCCTGAGGGCTGCAGGGAGGGATGGGTGGGAAAGCATGAACAAAAGAGAGAGTGAGAGAGCCGTTTAGGCACCCAAGAAGGGGGCAGGGAGGATGGTGGAGGGCAGCGAGTGCATTGATGGTAGGGATGCTCGACCTGAGGGCTGCAGAGGGAGGGACGGATGATGAAGCATGAACAATAGATAGAGAGTCGTTTAGGCGCCCCAAGAAGCAAGGCTAGAGAAGTGGACGAAGGAGGGTAGAGAAAATGATGGTGGAGGGTAGAGAATATGATGGTGGATGTAGCAAATGCACGGATGGTAGAGAATATGATGGTGGATGTAGCAAATGCACGGATGGTAGGGGGGTTGCAGTGGATGGGTACAAAGAGGGTGAGGTGATGTGATGGGTGAGGATGGGGGGGAACAAGAGGGAGAACGAGATGTGAATTTTGAGTGGAGCTAGAAAGCAGAAAGGACGGTGAGGTGAGAGGGCAGGCGGGGAATGTGCAGATGGTAGGTACATGCTATGCTGGTGTTGCTTTTGAGAATTCTAACAAGCAACACTAGCAGGCGGGGAATGTGCAGATGGTAGGTACACTCAATCGGATAGATGAGTGAGCTGCTGCAGGGAGGGAGGGATGGCTAGTGGTGAACTCGGATGTAAGAGATCCAGGCGTTACTAGGGCAGGGCGTACCTCGTTTGATTTTTGAGACATCTCAGAACTAGGGAGTTACTAGGGCAGGGCGTACCTGGTTGGTTTGACTTTCGAGACATCTCAAAACTAGGGCGTTTCTAGGGCAGGGTGTACCTGGCTTGATATGCTTTGGAGCATGAAGGAGAGGGAGGGCATTGAGGAGGGCGGCAGCAGGGAGCGAGCCAGGGAGGCGGAGGAGAAGGAGGAGGAGGAAAGGACGACACCCTTCACTGGCCTGAGGGACGCCACAGACGGACTCTGATTGGGGGAGAGGAGGCGGGGGGAGGGGGGACGGGGAAAGGAGGAAGAGATGGTGAATGAGGGGAAGTGTGGGAGGAGGAGGAGAGGAGGACACCCTTTACTGGCCTGAGGGACGCCACAGACGGACTCTGATTGTGGAGAAGGGAGGAGAGACGGGGAAAAGGGGGAATGGATAGTGGATGTTGGGAATCGGGAAAGGGAGGGGGAGGGGGGACGGAAGGGAGGAGGTGGTGGGATGGAGTGTGGGTGAAACTCCTTGGTGGTTCAAATGGCAGAAGACCATTAAGGGCGGGGAGGAAGAAGGGGGGGGGGTTGTGACGGAGAAGGGTCAACCCGTGACTCAGAGGTAAGCTTGTGGGCGTGTGTAAGGGGGGTGGGGGGGCGTTGGGGGGGAAGAGGAAGATAATTGGGATTGATGGAAGAGGGGGTGGAAGGAGACACGAGCAAAAGAATCAACGGTACACGGGCAAAGTGAACAATTGGATGTGAACTGCTGTGTGCACAGCCATGTGCACCGCAACGCGCATGGCATGACGAGCATGTGGGTAGTGAGGAGTGCAAATCTGATGGGCATGGCGCGTGGGAGACAGTAGGGTTGTGGTGTTTGGGTTACGAGCCTCGTAATACGAGGTAAGGAGCGCAACATACCACTGGCTGGGTGCGAGAAGAGGAGGAGGAGGACCTCCGGCGCAGCAACTGCTGCTGCTGCTGCTGCAACAGAAGCTGCATTTGCTGCTGCTGGTTTAGCAGTTGCTGGCTTTGTAGCAGGCTCTGCTGCTGCTGCTGCTGCTGCTGCTGTGCGTTGAGTTGTCTCCTCGTGCGGGGAGTCACCAGCAACCCTGAACCTGCTCCCCCACCTGCTGCTGCTGCTGGTGTTGTGGGAGTGGAGTGGGCTGAAGTAGGGGAGGAGGAGACCTGATGGAACGAAGGGTCAGATGGCAGGGAGAAAGCGGGGCAAGAACGAGAGAGCGTGAATTTAGAGTCGACTCAAAAGTCAACTGAAGTGGGAGAGGAGGAGACCTGATGGAACGAAGGGTCAGATGGCAGCGAGAAAGCAGGGAAAGGGAGAGAGAGCGCATGTGTGTGCATGTATGCATGCATGCATGTGAGTGTGTGCGGCTGTGTGCGCGTGTGTGTGCGTGCGCGCGCGCGCGTGTATGCATGCATGTGTGTGTGAGTGTGCATGCGTGTGTGAGTGTGCATGCGTGTGTGAGTGTGCATGCGTGTGTGAGTGTGCATGCATGTGTGTGAGTGTGCGTGCGTGCGTGCATGCGTGCGTGTGCAAGTGTGCGAGTGGATGCATGTGTGCGAGTGCGCATGCATTTGTGCGTGTGAGCGTGTGCACGCGCGCATATGTGCGACATCGGAGGAAAGAGAAGATCAGTTGGAGCACAGGCAGCATTAAGCAGTCCACAACAATGGCAGCCAGAATTACCCTTGTTCTGTCTTCTCATTCCAACATTCACCTGAACTGTCGTCTCATTCCAACATTCACCTGAGCTGTCGTCTCATTCCAACATTCACCTGAATTGTCGTCTTCCAACATTCACCTGACCTGTCGTCTCATTCCAACATTCACCTGACCTGTCGTCTCATTCCAACATTCACCTGAACTGTCGTCTCATTCCAACATTCACCTGAACTGTCGTCTCATTCCAACATTCACCTGAGCTGTCGTCTCATTCCAACATTCACCTGAATTGTCGTCTTCCAACATTCACCTGACCTGTCGTCTCATTCCAACATTCACCTGACCTGTCGTCTCATTCCAACATTCACCTGAACTGTCGTCTCATTCCAACATTCACCTGAACTGTCGTCTCATTCCAACATTCAACTGACCTGTCGTCTCATTCCAACATTCACCTGACCTATCGTCTCATTCCAACATTCACCTGAACTGTCGTCTCATTCCAACATTCACCTGAACTGTCGTCTCATTCCAACATTCACCTGACCTGTCACCGCATTCCAACATTCACCTGACCTGTCACCGCATTCCAACATTCACCTGACCTGTCACCGCATTCCAACATTCACCTGAACTGTCGTCTCATTCCAACATTCACCTGACCTGTCGTCTCATTCCAACATTCACCTGTCCTGTCACCGCATTCCAACATTCACCTGACCTGTCACCGCATTCCAACATTCACCTGACCTGTCACCGCATTCCAACATTCACCTGTACTGAAGTCCAACGAGTGCCCTGCTGCCCCGGCTGCACCTTCACCAATCCACCTGCCGCTCCTGCCGCTACAGAAGTCCCTGCCGCTGCTACAGATGCTGCTGCACCCGCTCCTGCTGCCCCTGCCCCTGTCCCTGCCCCTGCTGCTGGTCCTGGCACAGACGCAATCTTTGAGGGAGTAAGAGGAGTGACGGAGTGGAGGGAAGAGGAGGAGGTCGAGGAGTGAAGGGAGGGGAGGGGGCCAGAGGAGGAGGAGGATGTGGAGGAGGTACGGGGGGAGGGCGCTGCTGCAGCAGACAGCGGCCCGCTTGCTGTAGCTTGAGAGTCCTGCTCAGAGAGAGAATGACACACAGGAATGAGAAGAAAGCATGAAAGAGGGAGGGAGATGGAAGGTGGAAGGGGGGGAAGGCACTGCTGCAGCAGCAAACACGGACCTGCTTGCCGTAGCAAGAGAGCCCTGCGCAGGTTGACTTTTGAGTCGACTCAAAAGTCAACTCGGTTGACTTTTGAGTCGACTCAAAAGTCAACACGGGCCTGCTTGCCGTAGCAAGAGAGCCCTGCGCAGGGAGAGAACAGCACACAGAAGAGAGGAGAAGGCTTGAGGGAGGGGGGGAAGGTTGAAGGGGGGGAGGGCGCTGCTACAAACAAAAAACCACTTGCTGTAGCAAGAGAGTCCTGCACAGGGAGAGAACAGCACACAGGTGCGAGAAGAAAGCTTGAATGGCAGACAGAGGAACAATTGCAGCAGCAAGAGAGTCCTGTGCATGGAGAGAACGGCAGACAAGAGCGAGAAGAAGGCTTGACATAGGAATTGAGAAGGTACGAAGAAGGCCGTGGGTGGGCGGGAGGGTGCGGGAGGGGAGTAGGAAGAAGCTTGGGGACGGATGCGGCAGGAACGAATGAAGAATAAAACCACAGAGAAGATAAGAAGCAATTCTAAAAGACCCACCTTTCTGAAAGACGGGAGGTGGGAAGACCCAGCAGCAGCAGCAGCAGCAGCAGGCGCCCCATGAGAGGGTGTGGGAGGGCGGTTGGGTGGCAGCAGCACGCCTCCACCTGGCTGCTGCTGGGCTGGCGGGCGTTGCATGAGTGAGCTGCGCAGCACAATGGGCGCCATGCCCATGCTCTCCTCCTCGCCATCCGAGTCGTCTGTTGTCACTGAGAACCGCCCCTTCTGCTGCACTCCTGCTCGCCCCGCCACTGTTGCTCCTCCTCCTGCTCCTCCTACTCCCCCTCCTCCTCCCCCTCCTCCTCCTCCTCCCACCCCTCCTCCTCCTCCTCCTCCTCCTCCCCCTCCCCCTCCTCCTCCTCCTCCTCCTCCTCCTCCTCCTCCTCCTCCTCCTCCTCCTCCTCCTCCTCCTCCTCCTCCTCCTCCTCCTCCTCCCCCTCCTACCCTCTCCTCCCTCCCCTTCTCCTCCCGCCCTCTCAACTCTCTAGATCCGCCTCCCTCCTTGCTCCTCTCCTCCCTCCTCTTCTCCTCTCGCACCCTCTCCTCCTTAGGCTTCCCCAGCTCACGAGAAAACACCCTCTCCTCCTTAGCCTTCTCGTCTCTCGTCCGTGCATCCTTCCCTCGCTCTCCCCTCTCCTTCCCCTCTCCTCTCTCGCTCGCTCGCTCTCTCCCCCTCTCCTCCTTCCCCTTCTCCTCTCTCCCCCTCTCCACCTTCCCCCTCTCATCTCTCCTCCGCTCCCTCTCCTCCTCTCTCACCCGCTCACCCCCCCACCTCTCCTCCCTCCCGCCCTCCTCTCTCCCTCGCCCCTCCCGCACCTCTGTGAACCTGCCTGTAGTTCCACCTGGGCCTCTATGAACAGTGAAGGCACCGCCCCCTGTGGCCTCATGTGGGGAGGGCGTACCTGGTGTAGGCGGCATCTGGCCGGAATAGGACTTCACAAGAGGAGCGCCTCTGCTTGAAATGGAAGCCGCAGATGAGCCTGCACCAGATGCACCGCCTGTGGTTACGGACAAAGCGGCAGCAGGCCCAGCAACGGAAGCACCCGTACGGGCAGCCGGGGCAGGACCAGAATCAGCACCAGCAGCGGCACCAGCAGTGGCGGCGGCGGCAGTGGCGGCAGCGGCAGGAGGGTAGCCGGCAGGAAGAGAAGCAGCAGAGGTGGCGGTGGAAGCAGCAGCCGTGGCTGGGAGGGAGGAGGTCGCAGTGGGGAGGGGAGAGGCTTCGTCAAACTCCAAAGGGTCGTGTGTAGGCTCGAATGTGAAGCGCGATGGCAGCTTGCCTGGACGAGATGCCTTGGAGCCTGCATGCCTGCTCGCACAGGGGGCACAGGGGGGTGCAGGAGGGCGCAGGGGGGAAAAGGCGGAGAAAGAGGGGCGCAGAGGGGGACAAGGGAGCGCAGGGGGGCGCAGGGGGGCGCAGGGGGGCAAAGAGGGCAAAAGGGGGACAAAGGCGGGGCGGGGAAAGGGGGCGCAGAAGGGGACAAGGGGCCACAGGGGGGCGCAGGGGGGCACAGGGAGACAGTGGATGACAGCGGAAAGGGGATTATTAGGGAATTCAGCGAATAGGGGAGTGAGTAGTAGGGGGTGGGGAGGGAGGAGAGGGGGAGGGGGGGATGGGGGAAGGGGAGGGGGGGTGGAGGAGAAGGGGTGGCGGAAGAGAGTGGGGACGGGGGAAGAGTGCATAAGAAAGTGCAGAAAGCATAGAGGAACGGGCAGACAAACAGCGATGCTTGTTAGGTGCCTGAAAAGGAAGGGCAGACACACGGCCACGCCAATAAAGTGATGGTGATCATGACAACGTACTGCTCTGCTCTGCTCTGCAACCTTCGCTATACTGCACACAACCACCACGTACCGCTCTGCATCGTCCTTCACCAGAAACCGGTCCACCACAATCACCCCGGCTGCTGCTGCAGCCTTGTCGCCCAACAGTGGCCCACTCTTCGCCTTTCCCCTCGCACCCCCCGCCTGCCCCTCCGCCCCACCCGCCTTGCCGTCCCCCCTCGCCCCAACTCCTGCTTCCCTCTCCCCCCCTCCTGTCACCACAGCAGATGCTGCCCCTTCTGCTCCTCCTCCTGCTCCTGCTACTGCTGCTGCTGCTGCTGCTCCTGCTGCTGCTCCGCGCGACAACCCAGAAACACCGGCGACACCAGCACGACCACCAGCACCACCACCACCACCGGTAGCAGCAGCAGCCCCAGCAGCCCCTTTATCTGGCAAAGGCCCGGACGACCACGCTCTCCCAGCCAGATGCGCTGAATCGCCCCCTGCTGCCTCTGCAACACAAGAGACAGCCCTACCAACACCCAGATATGCAGCGCCATTGCCACCACCACTACCTGCTGCTGTAGCAGCAGCGGCCTCCTCTTCTGCTCCCCCATCAGCAGCAGCCCCTGCTGCTGCGCCTGCTGCCTTTATCCCTAGCCCCTTGCTCTCCGCCCTTTGCCCCCTGCGCCAATCCTCCCCCGGACCCTCGTCCAGGGCAGGCAGAGGCCCGGATAGAAACTTCCTGGCGCGAGGCTCCTGGGAGGTAGCACCTGCGCGGGTGCTACCTGCACTAGATGAGCCTGCACCAGATAAGCCCGCACCAGTGCTGATAGAGCCGGCGCCGCCGTTGCTACTGCTGCTGCTGGTGGGCCCAGCAGCAGCAGCAGCAGCCACAGAAGCAGCAGCAGCGACAGATGCTGAAGTCGCAGCAGCAGACGCAGCGATGGTGGCAACTGAGTCAGCAGCAGCAGCAGCAGCAGCAGCAGCAGCAGCAGCAGCAGCCGGAGTAGCAGAAGCAGCAGGCAGAGGACCACTGACACTGTCCAACACCCGCCGACGATCCAACGGCCCTGATCCCTGCTTGGCCAAGCCTCGGCTCGGCGCTCCTCCTCCTCCTCCTGCTGCTCCTGCTGCTGCTCCTCCTGCTGCGCTTGCTGCTTCTGCCGCGCTTGCTGCGCCCGCTGCTGAAGGAGCGCCGGCTGCTGCCCTGCCGGCGGCTAGCGACGAGGCGGAGGACGGCGGCCACGGGGAAACGTCGATGTCGCTGTCGGACTGATCGCCTTCTATTACCTGGAACCTTCCTCTGCGAGGGGAGCATGGAGCAGGCCGTGAACAGGTAGGGGTAGGACGGAAGATTCTTTTGTGTGTGGATTGGCCTTTAGAAAGCAGACGAACAGGTGGGGTAAGAAAGATGTGTAAATATATTCTTAAATATAAAAACGGGTTGAATCCCGGAATGTGTGTTCTCGGATGACCAGAACGAGCCATTGTCTGTGACAAACGCAATACCGAAGCTAGTCTCTGGATTAAACGACTAAGCCATAAAACGAGTCAGCCCAAAGCGAATTAGCAGCTAACTGCGTGATGGGAGCTATAGGCGTTAAGTTTGATATCTTCAAAATATGCTTACCGGGTGATAGGAGCTTTGGGCGGCATTACGTCACAGAGGGTTGGCTCCAGAAGAGAATCCTTCGTCACCGCAGCGACTTCTGCGGGATCTCACTTATTTTCCGCACCGCAACGACTTATTGCTTATTCGCGATAAGTTAACTGTGTCGACGCAGCTGCCTATAAATAACAAAATTAAAGACCTCGACCTTCAGCACTAGAACTGGTCGCGTCGAAATGGAACTGGAAACAGCGCTTCTGCTGGAAGCGGAGCGGCTATGCCGACCCGCTTTGGATAAGCCGCGTATAGGTCACCCAATAATATCCGCATTAATATCAGAGTACGCCGAGGAGCACGCGAAAAATAAGGGGCCCTTCTCCCGTTCGTAGGCTGACATAATTAGCAATCCGTCGTCTCTCTTGTGAGACACTTTCCCGCAAAGCGCGGGAACCGAGATAAGGTGTTGCAGCTAACAAAATGACCTGGCGTGCTGCACAGGCGAACGCTGCTTGTTGCTGCTTTGCATCTCGTCTCTTTTCTCTTGAATCCTGATGCTTCCCCCTATTCCGCTGCATGTGCCTTTGGGCGATGTTGGAAAATACCTGTTGCGAGAAAACATGGTTCGCATCAGTTTCGCAGTTCGGTACAGAGTTTCGCGGCACCAAGCATATGTCCGAAGCTCCTAGTCAGTCCCTGTACAGTTGAAAATCAGGGTTACATCTCAAACAACAACTGCTAGTTCGTGAAGTTCGTTCAAGGACTCGCATCCCAGATGTCACGGATGGCACGGATGACACGGATGACACGGGGTACATGGGATTTTGTTTGGGGAGTTCGTAAAGTTGGTTGGAAACAGGTGCAATCAGAACAATTCCCTGGAATTGACAGCCCTCAACGTCTCCCGAAGGGTTGAGGGACTACTTCGCCTTGCGTTGGGAATTTAGCCTAAAACCAGCAGGCTCGGTTTAGATGCGTACACGTGAAGGGGAACTGGATTTGCTCTCAAATATATAGAACTGCAATATTATCTCTCTTTACATTCTTACAGTTCAGGATATTCTTCCAGTTTCATATGCTAAAGGTTACAGGTTCACACAAGTTTCCAATTTATTCGTGCACTCAATCACCACATAATACCACAGAAACTACTGGTATTAAACCACAATAATCCACTTATACAAGACATGGCCAATAACACTATAGACCCCACAGAGGCTCTAATAGCTCTGCTCCGACACAGGGGTGCCATCTCCCAAGGCAGCAGCCTCAACACTCTTCTCCACGCACGCTTCAATATGCTCCGTGTCATCCTCTCCCTCCACCATCAGACAAGCCTGGTGGGACATAAGGGGGTGACGGGTGGGGTGGGATTGGGGGGAGAGTGTGGGGAGGGCAGGTTGGTTATATGTGCTAAGGTATATGTGCCATCCTCACCGTCAGCACGGCGGAGCTTGTTACGGTGGGGTGAAGTGTGAGGCGGGGTATCAAGGGCATAGCAGTGCACAGCAGAGTCTCATGCACTGTTTGACATCTCATGCAGCAAACAAGTGTGGTTACAGAAGAAACCAAGCCTTGAAGCGAAAGCCCCTCCCCTGCATGCGCCACACACTTCCCATTCCTCCCATTCCCTTCAACTCACATCAACTGCTTCCACCCGTGCCTGCTCCACGCCCTTCGGATACGCGCTCCCGTTCGTGGCACTCCCATTCGTTGCGCTCCCATTAGTGGCACTGCCATTGGTGGCAGCGCTCCGCTCAGCAGCATCAACAGCAGCAACACTCCTGGCAGCCACCGCCACGAGCTCCCTCTCCTCTGCAGCCATGTCCACCTCCTCGTTGCGCATCACATACGCATCGATGTTCGCCGCTGCCCCACGGCCCTCCGCGATAGCCCACACCACAAGAGACTGGAGAGGGGGGGAGGGAGGGGAGATGAACGGGGTGAGTGAGTGTTGATGTTGGTAGTAGCTGACATGAAAAGTAATATGAATGAAAAGCAGGAGGTACCTATACGCGCCTGCAGTTCAGTTTTCGGCAGCGGAAACGCGCTTGAATTGGTGGGATCGAGAAAACCGCCAATGGAGAGCAAAGGCAATGAAAATCGCCAATGGCAGCACCTGTCCGCGTTTGCAGTTGGGTCTCCAACAGCAAACAAGGAAAAGCAGCAAGGCCGTACCTGTCCGCGGCGGCAGTCGCCGGCAGCAAAGACGCCCTCCAGGTTGGTGGCGAACTGCCCATAGTCCGCCTGGAAGTTGCTCCGAGCGTCCGTCTTGAGCCCCAGCTTCTCCGCCACGTTCTGCTCCCAGGGGAGGGAAGGGGAGGGGGAAGGGGAAGGGGTTGACTCCACGAGCTCCTCCGTGAGCCTCAGCTCTCAGCCAAGAAAGATAGAAATCACAGCACTCCCAACCACTCCCAACCACTCAGACACTCCCAACAGAGGCACTGACCTGCTCCGGGCCCAGGAAGCCCATGGCGAGCAGCGCGAGGTCCACGGGAATCACCTCCTCGGACCCGGCCACCTCGCTCATCTGGAACCTTCCGGACGCGTCCTTGGCCCACTGCACGCGCACCGTCTCAATCCCCGCCAGCTCGCCTGCATCGTTGCCGATGAAGCGCTTGGTGAGCACCTCGTACGACCGCGGGTCGGCCCCGAACTTCGTCTTGGCCTCCTCGTGCCCATAGTCCACGCGGAAGACACGCGGCCACTGGGGGAGGGGGGAGTTGCGAGGGGGGGTGGGTTGCAAGTGTGTCGTCGTTAAAGAGGGAGTGAGATGGCGACTTCAGAGGGGGTAAGGAGGCGAGCAAGCAGAGAACAGCGCACGCGTCCACCACTACTCACACACCATCAGCCGCGACAACAACCATACCTGCGGCCAGGGGTTGCCATCGGCGCGGGACGGCGGCGGCTGCGGCAGCAGCTCCAGATTCACCAGCGACTCGCACCCATGCCTCAGACTGGTGCCAATGCAGTCCGTGCCCGTGTCACCTCCACCAATCACCACCACCTTCTTCCCCTCCGCCGAGATAAACCTCCCGTCCTTCAACCCGCTATCCAGCAGCGACTTGGTGTTCGCAGCCAGGAAATCCATGGCGAAATGCACCCCCTTGAGCTCCCTCCCGGGGACGGGCAGATCCCGCGGCTTGGTCGACCCGCACGCGAGCAGCATCGCGTCGTTCTCCGCTCGGAGCTTTTCCAAGCTGTAGTTCTCGTCCACCCCCACGTGCGCGCTGGTGACGAAGGTGATGCCCTCGGCTGCCATGAGGTCCACGCGGCGCTGCACCACGTGGGTCTTGTCCGTCTTCATGTTGGGCACGCCGTACATCATCAGCCCGCCGATACGGTCAGAACGCTCGTACACGGTGACTGTGTGCCCCCGCTTGTTCATCTGATCCGCGGCGGCCAGGCCTGCTGGGCCGCTGCCAATGACCGCCACCTTCTTGCTGGAAAGGGGGAATGGAGGGAAAGGGGGGAGGAAACAGTAACAGGTGAGGGATTGAAAATCGCAGGATTCCCAGCACGCACAGCCATGGCATGTGGTTTGAAGTTGTGGTGATTTAGTATATCTCGGTACCTTTCCTTTCCCTCACACTCACCAGCCAAGCACTCCCTCTCCCCATTACTCACCCAGTGCTTTTGGCAGGCGGGCGAGGCACCATCCACCCCATCTCGTACGCCTTGTCACTGATGCTCAGCTCCATAACATGCGCCTACCCTTTCCCCCACACTCACCAGGCACACACCCCATCAGCTCCCAAGTCCTTACCCCGTGCGCTTGGCAGGCGGGCGAGGCACCATCCACCCCATCTCGTACGCCTTGTCACTGATGCTCAGCTCCATAACATGCGCCTACCCTTTCCCCCACACTCACCAGGCACACACCCCATCAGCTCCCAAGTCCTTACCCCGTGCGCTTGGCAGGCGGGCGAGGCACCATCCACCCCATCTCGTACGCCTTGTCACTGATGCTCAGCTCCATAACATGCGCCTACCCTTTCCCCCACACTCACCATGCACACACCCCATCAGCTCCCAAGTCCTTACCCCGTGCGCTTGGCAGGCGGGCGAGGCACCATCCACCCCATCTCGTACGCCTTGTCAATGATGCTCAGCTCCACTGTCTCAAACCACACAAAGCTCTCAATGACCCCCAGCACACACAGCCAAGGCACACAAAGCTCTGAATGATCCTCACACTCATTGGCCAAACACTCCCTCTGCACAGTTCTTACCCGGTCCTCTTGGCGGGCGGGCGAGGCACCATCCATCCCATCTCATACGCCTTGTCAATGATGCTCAGCTCCATGGTCTTAATCGACACCGGGTTCTCTATGATCCCCAGCACGCACGCGCCCTCGCACGGCGCAGGGCACACCCGCCCCGTAAACTCAGGAAAGTTATTCGTCTCCAGCAGCCGATCCAACGCCTCCTTCCACCTCCCCTGGTACACCAACTCGTTAAACTCGGGGATCTTGTTCCCCAGCGGGCACCCAGACTTGTCCTGGTTGCAGAAGGGAGTGCCGCAGTCCATGCAGCGTGCGGATTGGGTTTTGAGGAGCTCGGGGCGGCCGGGGTCGGAGGCCAGCACCTCGCCCCAGTCGGTCAGGCGCTCCTCTGCCGGGCGGTATGGCAGCGGCTCCCTCTCGTACTTTATGAACCCCCCGAACTTGACGGGCGCAGGGAGACGCGTGGGGCGCTTGGGAGCAGCCTGCGGGGGGAAGGGGGACCCGGGAGCGGGCAGTGGAGGGGGAGTGGGAGGAGGGGTCACAAGCAGAAGAGAGGAATGGGAAAGCGTGAGAGGGATGGTGGGTGATTGGTGGGGGACGGAGGCGGCCGGGGTCACAGGTGAGCAGACGGGAGGAACAGGAAGTGAGAGGGAATGAAAAAAAGGTAAAGACTTAGCGTGGGCTTCAGATGATCACTCCATCACCAACATCCGAACGAGCAGTGCAACAAACAGCTGAACGAACAGGAAAACGACCAGTCAGGCTGACATCAGCAGCTGTCACTCACCACAGCAGCGGACCCGTTGACCTCCTCCTTTCCACTGGCAGCCGCGAGCTTCTTGAGCTCTTCAAACGCGTCCTTCTCCTTGAGCGCCGCCGCCTCCATCTCGCTCTTCACCCGCTTCTCCTCCAGCACGCGCTTGAAGTCCCGTGGGAACACCTTCACAAACTTGGGCAGCAGCTCCTCAAACTCCGCCAGCACCTCGCCAGCCAGCTTGCTCTTGGTGTACCTCTGATGCTGCTGAATCATGGAGCGCAGCAGCAGCACATCCGCTTCTGCCACTACAGGGTCCAGGTCAACAAGCCCTGTGTTGCACCTCTTGTGGAAGTCCCCTTCCCGGTCGAGAATGTACGCCGTCCCACCGCTCATTCCCGCGGCGAAGTTCTTTCCAGTGCCGCCCAGAATGACCACCGTGCCGCCCGTCATGTACTCGCACCCGTGATCCCCCACCCCCTCCACCACCGCCCTCGCCCCGGAGTTCCTCACAGCAAACCGCTCCGCAGCCATACCGCAGAAATACGCCTCGCCAGACGTAGCACCATACAGCGCCACATTCCCGATGATGATATTCTCCTTGGGATCAAACGTCGACGAGGTCGGCGGGTAGATAATCAGCTTCCCCCCAGACAGCCCCTTGCCAACATAATCATTGCTATCCCCCTCAAGCTCCAGAGTCAACCCCTTGCAGGTAAACGCGCCGAAGCTCTGCCCAGCGCTACCCGTGAGCTTGAAATGGATCATATCAGCAGGAAGGCCCTCCAGGCGATGCACCTTGGTCACCTCATGAGACAGCATGGTTCCCACCGCACGGTTCACGTTCACAATCGGCACCTCGGCAAACACGGGAATCTTCTGCGTGATCGCGGGCTGCGCGAGCTGGATCAGCTTCTGATCGAGCGCCAGCTCGAGCGCATGGTCCTGCTTCTGCACGCACCGCTGGGCGGCCCCTGGGCGGAGGGTCGCGGCGGGGGTGAGCAGCACAGAGAGATCAATGTTTTGGAGTTTCGGGTTGGAGTTGCAGAGGTCCATGTCTTGTTCCAGCATGTCGGCGCGGCCAATCATCTCATCCATGGACTTAAAGCCCATCTGTGCCATGTACTCCCGCGCCTCCTCCGCCACCATGAAGAAATAGTTTATCACATGCTCCGGCTGCCCGTTAAACTTCGCCCGCAGCACCGGGTCCTGAGTCGCAATCCCCACCGGGCACACGTTCTTATGACACTTCCTCATCATGATACAACCAAGAGTGATCAGCGGCGCCGTCGAAAACCCGAACTCCTCAGCACCGAGCAGCGCCGCGACAGTAATATCCTTTCCGGTTTTCATCTGCCCGTCTGCTTGGAGCACAGTGCGGCCGCGCAGGTCGTTTGCCACGAGCGTCTGGTGGGTTTCTGCGAGACCCAGCTCCCAGGGGAGACCGGCGCTCTTGATGCCGGTCCAGCGGGAGGCGCCGGTGCCGCCGTCGTGGCCTGAGATGAGCACGTGGTCTGCATGGCCCTTCACCACTCCGCTCGCGATCACTCCCACGCCCGCCTTGGACACCAGCTTCACGCTCACACGGGCGCGCGGGTTGGAGTTCTGGTGAAGGGTGGGAAAGGACAAGGGGCAGAGGGAAACAGGCAGCAGCAGACCAAGGCGGATGGGGGGGGATTAGAGAGTAAGAATTCAGTGTGTGGGCGGTAGGTCGCACCACTCAACTCCCACACCACTTTCAGTTTCACCATTCTATTCTGAGGCGTCCACACATGGGGGGCTTTGACCAAGTAGCACTCAGCTGCATCATGCATACCCACACAAGGCATTCCCAACCGCCCTCTCATGTCCCTACCGCCCCACCAAGCACTCACCTTGAGGTCGTATATGAGCTGCGCCAGGTCTTCAATGGAGTAGATGTCGTGGTGGGGTGGCGGGCTGATGAGCCCTCAGATGCACACACATGCCTCCCCACCCATGCTTACCCCCCTTTTCCATGTTCCCAACCAACCCCACTAACACCAGCTCACCTTGAGGTCGTAAATGAGCTGCGCGAGGTCTTCGATGGAGTAGATGTCGTGGTGCGGCGGCGGGCTGATGAGCCCCTCATTCCCCGCATGCATACACATGGATACCCTCCCCCTTTTCCACGTCCCCCCATCCACCAGCAAGCGCTCACCTTGAGATCGTAGATCAGCTGCGCGAGATCCTCAATGGAGTAAATGTCGTGGTGGGGCGGCGGGCTGATGAGCCCCACCCCCGGCGTGCTGTTCCTCGTGATGGCGATATCCCCAATCACCTTGTGCCCGGGCAGTTCCCCTCCCTCTCCGGGCTTCGCGCCCTGCGCCATCTTAATCTGAAGCTCATCCGCGTTCGTCAGGTAATACGCCGACACGCCAAACCGCCCGCTCGCAATCTGCTTAATCGACGACCTGAGGATGTTGTTACTCCCGTCCGGGTTAGGATCCAGGCGGGCCGGGTTCTCGCCTCCCTCGCCCGTGTTCGACTTTCCTCCAATCGTGTTCATAGCGATGGCCAAGCTCTGATGCGCTTCCAGGGAGATAGACCCGTAGCTCATGGCTCCCGTGCAGAACCGCTTCACGATCTCGCTCGCCGGCTCCACCTCCTCCAATGGGATCGCGCCACCTGGCGCCGGCTTGAACTTGAGCATGCCGCGCAGGTTGCACTGCTGGTTCAGCGTGTTGGTAATCTGGGCATACTCCTTATAAGCCCCTGGGCTGTTCGTCCGCGCGGCCTCCTGCAGGCGCGAGATCGCGACCGGGTCGTTCAAATGCACCTCCCCGCCCTTCCTGTAATGATACTCCCCAGCATTCGGCACAGCAATAGCATCAGCCGAATCCTCCGCAAGATTCTTCTCGGTTCCCAGCGGGAACGCCTGGTCGTGCATGCGAATAGCATCCGCGGCAAGCACGTCAAACGACACGCCCTGAATCCGGCTCGCCGTGCCCCGGAAGCAGCGGTTCACCACGTCGCTCGACAATCCCAAGGCCTCGAAGATCTGCGCGCCCTTGTACGAAGCCAGCGTCGAAATGCCCATCTTGGCCAGCACCTTGAGCATGCCCGCGTTGCTCGCGTTGAAATACGTGCGGATGAGCTCGTCTTTCGTGCGGAGGGAGCCGTCCGCCTTGGGCGGGATCTTGCCGTCGACCTGGAGCCGCCAGATGGCCTCCGTGGCGACGTAGGGCGAGATGGCGTCGGCGCCGAACCCCACGAGCGTGCAGAAGTGATGCACCTCGCGGGGCTCGCCCGATTCGACTACGATTCCGATACGCGTGCGCTGCAGCGTGCGGACAAGGTGCTGATGGACCGCTCCTACTGCCAGGAGCGCACTCACAGGGATGCGGGTCGGGGACGTGGCTGCAGGGAGGGGAGGGGAGTGGGTAACGGGTGGGGGGGATTGGGGGGGGGGATGGACATGGGGGAGGGAGTGAGTGCGACGTAGGGCGAGATGGCGTCGGCGCCGAACCCCACGAGCGTGCAGAAGTGGTGCACCTCGCGGGGCTCGCCCGATTCGACTACAATGCCGATCCGCGTGCGCTGCAGCGTGCGGACGAGATGCTGGTGCACCGCTCCTACTGCCAGGAGCGCGCTCACAGGGATGCGGGTCGGGGACGTGGCTGCAGGGAGGGGAGGGGAAAGAGAGGAGAGGAACATAAGGGAAGGTGTGATTGCGTGCGCTGCAGCGTGCGCGCGAGATGCTGGCGCACCGAGCCCGCGGCCAGGAGGGCACTGACAGGCACGCGGGTACGGGACGTGGCTGCAGGGAAGGGCGGGGAGAAGGGGTAGGGAGTGGGGAAGAGGGAAGAATTAAGGGACGTGTGAGTGCGTGCGCTGCAGCGTGCGCACGAGATGCTGGAGCACTGAGCCCGCGGCCACCAGCACACTGTTCGTACCAACTACCAACTCCTACTGCCATAACCCTGAACCCCTGCTCACCTCGGTCGGACAGCACGAGCATCTTGTACCCAGCCTCGATGGCCAGGCTCGCCTCAGCGCAGATCCGATCCAGCGCCTTCTCCAGCCCGTCCGGCCCCTCACTCCGCGCGAACGTGACATCCACAACGGCCGTGCGCCACCCGCGGTGGTCCATCTTCTTCATCGCCTCCGTCTCCTCCGGCGTCAGCAGCGGGCCCTTGAGCGACAACCTATGCGCCTGCGCCTCAGTCGTCTCCGTCAAGTCTCCCTCGGGCCCCACCATGCACTCCGTGGAGGTAACAACGGCCTCGCGAATGGGATCGATCGGGGGGTTGGTGACCTGCGCGAAGAGCTGTTTGAAATACTCCGCCATGAGCTTCGGCCGCGTGGACATGCACGCCAGCGGAGTGTCGTTCCCCATGGATCCCAGCGCCTCGGATCCCGTCTGCGCCATGGGCAGCAGCAGCATCTCCAGAGCCTCGATCGTGTATCCAAACGCCTTCAGCGGCGTGGTCAGCCCGCTGATCCCCATCGTCTCCATCGTCTCGTCTGCTGACGAATCGACTTCCGTCGCGCCCGCGATCGGCGGCGGCACGCGATCAGCCTCCGGGACGGACGCGACGATGTCGCCAAGTGTCAGCTTCTGATTGGCCAGCCACTCGCCGTAGGGGCGCTGGCTCGAGTACTGGCGCTTGAGCGCCTCGTCATCGACCACCTCGTGCTTCTCGAAGTCCACCAATAGCATCATTCCGGGGTTCAGGCGCCCCTTGCGCGCCACGTCAGCAGGGTCCACGTCGACGACGCCCACCTCGCTGGCCATGATGACGCGGCCGCTGTGCGTCACGTAGTAACGGCCGGGACGCAGACCGTTGCGATCCAGCGTGGCACCCACGTACTTGCCGTCAGAAACTGCGAGGAAGGGGGATGGGAGACAGGGTGGGAGAGGGAGAGGAGAAGAGAGAGGTGAGGGCACAATTCGAATGGGAAGAAAACAGACGGAAAGAAAGATAAGGGCGTAGAAAAGATAATGGAGGCAGACCGGGAGACAACGACTCACAGGCAATGAGAGCGGGCCCATCCCAGGGCTCCATGAGCGCGGAGAGGTACTTATAGAGCGCCTTCTTCTCGGGGTACATGTTCTTGTCGTTCTGCCACGCCTCGGGAATCATCATCATGACGGCCTCGGGCAGCGTGCGGCCGGCGCGCACGAGCATCTCGAGCACTCCGTCGAACGCGCCCGAGTCGGAGGAGTTGGCGTCGATGACGGGCAGCACGGCGTCCAGCTCCTCCTTGGAAATGCCGAGCCCGGGACACTTCATCAGCCCCTCGCGCGCGCGCATCCTGCGGCAAGGAGAGGAAAGAGGGTCGGGGGAAGCAAAGGTGAGGAAGTAGTGTTGGTTGATTCCTGAGTAACCTGGAGGCAGCTTTTTCACGCCGCCTTCTCAGTGTACGACAGACCCAGAGTGCGCGACAGGACCAGTGTGCGACAGACCCAGCGTGCGACGGGTCCAGTGTGCGACAGACCCAGCGTGCAACAGACCCAGTGTGCGACAAACCCAGAGCGCGACAAACACAGCGTGCGACAAACACAGCGTGCGACGAACACATATGCGACAGGACAAGAGCAGGGCAGAGACTGACCAGTTGACGTTGCCCTGCAGCGTGTTGATCTCGCCGTTGTGCCCCAGAATGCGCATCGGCTGCGCGCGCTCCCAGCTCGGAAACGTGTTCGTTGAGAACCGCGAGTGCACCTGGAAAGGGAGAGCGAGGGAAGGGGAGGGGTGGGGAGGAAGAGAGAGGAAACAACGTTACAAGGAATGCAGATATCGCTAGAGGCGACATTCCTAGCCCGTGGCTGTGGAATGAGCCGTGTCAAAACGATCAATGCCGGCTGGATTGCAGTGTGTGATCAATTGCGGGCAAACGGGTATACGCGCGGGCGAGCGGACGGGAGGGCGGTCGAGCGGGCAGACGGGCAACTCACGAGGCCCATGTAGGAGGTGAAGCGATCGTCGTCGAGGTCAGCGTGGTAGTAACCCTGCAGCTGCTCCGGCTTCAGCTGCCCCTTGTACACGATCGTCCTGCATTGCTCCAAGCACGCACGGACACACACACGCACACAAACGCGTGCAGAAATAGGCACACCGAGGAACCGCGTGTCAACTGAGCTGACAGCACGGTAACCTTGTACAATCACGATCACTTTTGTCCCCGCTTATCACCATCGTATCTATCAACGACGTGCTCAGACTATTGCGGAGATGCTTCAAACTCCTTCAGTGTGAAGGCCGGTGGGAAGCAAATGATTTTTTTAAACAATACCCTGAAGCAACCAATCCTCAACAAGCGAGAGGACCACGGGACAAACAGACCGACGGACCAAGCGAAAGGATGAGGGGACGGGACGAGACGGACCTGGTGGAGAGCGAGCAGATGTAGAAGTCGCGCGTGCCGCCGACCTTCAGATTAAGCGCCTCGCGGACGGCCTTCATGGCGGTGCGGCGCAGCAGCCACATCTGCTGCTCGGCCTCGAGGTGCGAGTCCTTGTTGACGAGCAGGAAGAGCTGCTCCACGATGGGCTCCGTGTCCAGCGCCGCCTTGCCCAGATCCGCGTTGTCCGTCAACACGCGCCGCCACCCCAGCACCTTGCACCCCATCTCCTCCGCCACCTGCGGCGGGAGATCACCAGGAATGAATTCCAGAAAGGACAAACAAACCACCAACAGGGGGAGTCAGAGTCAAGCGAAACGAAAGGGAGTTCGGGTCCTGAACGAGCATTTAAGGCGAGCATTTGAAAACATGCGCAAGAGAGAAAGTTGGAGATGGGAGGTACGACGCGGCTGGGGTGTGCAGAGCCGAACCTTGTTGAATGCCTCCTTGCCGCGGTTCCTGCGCTTCTTGTCCGTGGGGAGGAAGCACATTCCCACTCCGTACTCTCCCAGCGCCGGGAGAGTCACACCAGCATCCACCTTGGCAACCTGCACAATAAGAAAAAGGAACAATCGAAACAAACAAACAAACGAAGACGCACGGTGAGTTAACGACAAAATCCGTCGAACATATTTATGGAGAAAGGGACAAGAGGGAAGCGGAAAATGCAGCTGCCATAACTGCATTTTTGTGGCACGAACATATCGTATAGCTCGAATCTAGAGACGAGGAGGCTGGGGTGACGGCAGTCACCTTGACGAAAAAGTCGTGCGGTAGAGCCACCATGATACCAGCACCATCACCGGTGTTAACCTCGCAGCCGCACGCGCCGCGATGCGCCATGCGGATAAGCATCTCGAGCGCGTCAGTCACCTGAAGACGAAAACGAACCACAGCGTCGAGGTAAGCTATACCGGCAATAGATTCATCACACAAGAGCGCAACCGTGTGATTCTTACGAGAATTGAAGAATTACGGAAAGAAAACAGATGCGATCGAGGCAAGCTAGCCTGCTGACGAAAGACGTGCTCTTTTTTTAAAGGCCCCCGTGCAAGGAATTCTGAAGCCGGAATAGAAGTTTGAGAAGGTTTGTGAGCAGCTTACAGTCTTGCGCGTGGGGATCTTGGAGAGCTCGGCAACGAAGCCGACACCACACGCGTCGCTGTCCAATGCAGGGTCGTACAGGCCCATGGGCTCCTGGGGAACCTTGGAGAACTCGGCCGTCGTCACGAGGCGTCGAACGGGGTCGTTGGATGCCTTGCGCGACATCGCAGGGGATCGCACGGCCTGCTTCGACGAAGGCAGACCGGCGGTGCTCTTGAGGCCATTGAACTTGAGAAACGCACCGCGCGGCTGGAAAGGAGTCGAGGATTCCTGCTGGCGGGCAGACGCGGTGAGGCCTGAGCCTGACACTACCGCTGACGGCAGCGACAGTGACAGTGCACGGACAGCCGCCATCGCTACTGCTTAGCGCTTACAAACCGAAAAGAGGAACCCTATGACAGGTCGTAAGCACATGCAAGGAGTACACCAGTTGTGAGGCCTGTAGGGTCCTCTTCGAAAAAAACTTCTCCACAAGAGAAGCTCAGAGATAAGAGCGAGAATGAGAGTGACTGGACTGTTCGAGTCAGGACATCTATTCTTCAGCATTCAGCTTTGCTCTGACCCCATCTCCAAGCTGTTCCGCCAAGCCGATGGACGGATGGATTCGGCTTCACCAAACCGCTAGGCTCTCTCTGGGCTCTCTAGGCTCAATCCATCCGTCCATCCAACCAAATCTCCCATCATCCAACCATCCATCCATCCATCCATCCATCCATCCATCCATCCATCCATCAACGGATTCCATGCTTCCGCCAGCGAAACCCCGAGTTTCGGGTTTTTTTCGCCCTGTTGCTGCGTGCCACCTCGTCCCGTGCGTGTGGGGGGCTGCCCAGGTAGGCAGCACAGCACTTCCTGTACCCAGACCAAACTTGGGTCTCTCAGACTTTCGGTTTGGTTCGGACAAACATATTCCTTGACTCGAGCCGAGTGACTCGGGCTAGGTTCGGCTTAACGGTGCAGATGCGGCTTGAATGGTTATCTTGCGATTGGACGAAAGCTACCTAGCTTTTGCTTCTGACGCGCTGTCCGAATATCATGCGTGCCGAGCCTCGTCTCCACCAATAATACCTATTTGTGTCTCCTCCGAACCCGTTGAGGCTCACTTTCCGTTGGAGATTGCTCACACATGCCACCCTCACAAGCTGGACGCGGATCTGGTTCGGCTCGGGCAGTTCCCATCCCATGGATGAAGCTTGGTGGTGGGAGCTGTGTTTCTATCTTTTTGCTGCTCCAGCTGGGAGGATTCGCAGTTGCGGATTGGTGAGCCGCGATATAAATGGCTCAGTGCCACATCGGCACTCTGTCAACGTGTCCAGCGCTCACTCGGCAAATTCTGAGTTGGGGCTAGCACGGGCTCATCTTTAGCCAACCACGCTCCCGTATTCATACTCTCTATAAAAAAATAGTTATCACTTGATGACCCAGCTGAATCCGTAATCGAGATGGTTGTTCACTAAGATGATTTTGCTAGGAATAGGAGAGGGGTATTGATTATTTTGCAGTCTCATGGCTATTTAGTGACTCCTATTCATTCCAAAGCGTAACTTTGGTTTTCCGGACTCCATACACACGCAGATGTGGTCACATTGACTTGATGATCTCAACCACCGACCGACGAGCCTTCATTCCATGGAAACCGACACTGGCACAACTACGGTAGGTACCTAGTCAGAAACTCAGACAAAGGCCCAAGCAAGCACACCCACAGCACTATAACAAGAGGTTTACCCCATCACATCGTTGTATGTAGGCTGAAGTACATCGCTCAGCCAACCAGCACCTTGGTTTCCTCCAGAAACTTGTAAGTCGGCACTTCCAGGTTGGTGGGAGCCGGACCCTTGCGAATACGTCCTGAGATGTCATAGTGCGACCCGTGGCATGGGCAGAACCATCCGCCATAATCCCCGGCATTCGGCAGCGGCACACACCCCAGATGCGTGCACACACCAATCACAACCAGCCACTCTGGGTTCGGCGCCCGGGCCGAATCAGGCTCGGGGTCCCGGAGCTCCGAAAGGTTCACGTCATTGGCCTTCGCCACGTCAGCAGGCGTGCGGCGGCGAATGAACACCGGTTTCCCGCGCCACTTCACGGTAACCGTGTTACCAGGCTCGATGTTCCCAAGGTCCACTTCGAGCGACGCCATCGCCAGCACATCCTTGCTAGCGCTCATACTGAGAATGAATTTCAGCACGAGCAGGCGGAGAGCAGAGGCGTAGATGAAACGCCCGCCCGTGAGGACGAGGTAGGTGAAGGCACGCTTGGAAGGGTCCCCGGGCGGCAGGCGCTCGTGGATGGTCGTGTCGTAGGTGATGGTGGCGGAGGGGGTTTTCAGGGCGAGCTCCGTTGGGGTGATGGGCGGGGCAGTGGTCAGTGCTGCGTCGGCAGCAAAGCCTGGAGGAGGGGAGGGACAGAGCACGAGGGGGGGGGGGGGGGGGGGGGGGGGGGTGGGAGGGGTAGAGGAACAGGGCATAACCGCGGGGAAATTGTGAGTGTTTTGGTCGTAGGTGGTGGCAGGTGGGAGTCTCAAGTCTCGAGTCAGAACATGGCAGGCGCTCGTGGATGGTCGTGTCGTAGGTGATGGTGGCGGAGGGGGTTTTCAGGGCGAGCTCCGTTGGGGTGATGGGCGCGGCCGTGGTGAGGGCTGCGTCCGCTGCGAAGCCTGTGAAGGGGGAGGACGGAAGGGATGGAGCATAATTGTGGGGAAATGGTCGTAGGTGATGGTGGCGGAGGGGGTCTTCAGGGCGAGCTCCGTGGGGGAGATGGGCGGGGCCGTGGTGAGAGCAGCATCGGCAGCGAAGCCTGTGAGTGGGGAGGGGAGGGAGCGGAAGGAGGGGAGGGGGGGTGGGAGGCGAGGGACGGGTGGGAGGAACAGAGCATCCGAGAGGAAATGGAGGATGGTTTGGTCGTGGGTAATGGCAGAGGTGGAAGTGTTGAGTCGACTCAGGACACGGCAGGCGCTCGTGGATGGTTTGGTCGTAGGTGATGCTGGCGGCGGACGTCTTTAGGGCGAACTCTGGTGGGGAGATGGAGGGGTGGTGGTGGAAACCTGGCAGGGATAAGAGGAATGTGAGGGGAGGACTAGGGGAAGGGGTGCTGAATGGGAGGGTTAGTGCAGATATGGGACGGGTAAGGGAGGGATGGATGGAAGGATGGATGTGGGGATGGGAGAACGGATGGAAGTGTAGCAGAGGAAGGCCTGAAGAGGCGAGACGGGACCGATGCGAGGATTGAAAAAGGCATGAGAGGCTCAAGAGGATTGACAGCCTTGGAAGGCATTGAGTTTGTGAGGGAACCAGATGACACACATACGAGGAGGAACAGGGAGGGACGAAGAACGGATTGTTGGGAGAATGAATGAGGAGAGACGATAGAATATATACGAGGGAGCGGAAAGAGGATGATGGAAAAGAGGAGAAATTTCTTTCACTGTATTTTGACAGAAAATGCAGGAGCCCGCACTGATGCAACATGCGCCAGCGAGTGAGCCCATTAAAGTGCCTCGTGCGCAAACAATCAGACATGTTGACGCTCGCACGTGCCATGCACGCTCCCACGTGCCATGGACGTGTGAAAAGTCGGCAAAGGGGAAGACGAAAGACATCAGGAAGAAAACAAGGGGAAGGGGAACAGGACAAGGATAGCCGAGGCCAAGACGCCGATAGGTCGTACGACGACAACCATGCAACAAATCTAGCGATTCGACATAAACAAAGTCAGCCATTAAGCGGAAGCCGCGTCCTTCATTACAAAAATTCTGAAAAAGGCACTGACAACAATCGTCCACCAGAGTTGTTTTTTTACGGATCGATTGAATCCACGACAGACCACGCAGGAGAATATTCGTCGCGTCCGTGCGGAACCATGAAAACCACACAAAAAAGGCCCTAAGTGCTTCTAAACTAGCAAACAAGGAAACCCTAACCGCGGCTGCACAAGATGAACAACCGTTTCATCGACTCTCGCGAAAACGAACCTCGGGAGAAGCTGAAGTGGGGAGGGGAGGGGATCGCTGCGGGCGATTCGGTAATGGAAGACGGAACGGGCGTGAGAGGCGGCGACGACACGATCGCATGGCGGTCGACGATGGGAACGGTTGCGATCGATCGCAGCAGCGCCGGAGACCGCGCGATCCCGAGATCCGCGGCCTTGCGGCCGAGATGGCGCGACAACATGGCGCTACCTCGTATCAGATGCGCGCGTGGGAGCAGATGCGACGGTTTAGGAGGCACTGACACGAACCTCCTAAAGATGACGTACGACAGAGGAGTAACAGCCTGGGCTGGAAGGCTATGGAGGGGGGGGTGGCAGGGTGTACCTTTGCACTCGTTATGAGCTTCGGTTCGAATTTGTGCTTCTGCGCACCTTTGTCATATTCGACAAAGACGACCTTCTCAGTCAAGAGATTGCTGGCATTATAACCTGATTTTTTATTCCAAACATAATCATGTGATGTGTCGGATTTGACAGAAGAGGGGAGGTACGAAACACAATATAACGGAACCATGTGCACTCTGCTTCGCTTTATTCTTCCGTAGGCTTTGATGCTTCTCAATTTCAACTACACATGCGTACCTACCTAATCTTGATTCGCGCGAATCAACTACAGCTGGTGTATGCCCTTCTATCCTTCCTCCTATGTGCCGCTATGGAAGGTCGGGCAGCGCAGTGGTCAGTGACTGCTCAGCACCGAACACAACAGTGCATATCAACCGGCGAAGATTCCATTCTTTGACATAACATGACCATTTTTTGGCCCCAGGAGCGCATGGGCGCAAATGTGAGCAGCAACCAAATTCGATCGAAGATCACTCGGCCTTCTTGCGGTGGCGTCGGGAGCGCGTGGGAATGACGGAAAGCAGCACGTTGAGCAGGATGGGGACGATCGTTCCCATGAAGAAGAGCGACCGCCACACTGCTATGGTCTGCCCCGCTTGCAGCACCTGGAGGAGGGGGCGAAGGCAGTGTGGATGATGCGAATTTGTGAGTGCACAGGCACAGGAAAGGAGCGGATGGGAGAGGGGGGGTGGAAGAGGGGGGCAGGCTAAAGGAATGGGAGAGGATGCGGCGCATGAGAGAGAGAGAGCGACACAGGGACGATCGTCATGAAGAGGAGTGAACACCACACCACTATGGCTTGCCCTGCTTGAAGCATCTGGGGGGGGGAGGGGGAGGGGGGATTGCAGAGGAGTAGTTGACAATGAGCATCTTGAACACGGCTTGCAGCACGTCCAGGGCGACCTTCACTGCTGCTGCCTTGTGAGAGGGCACGGCATACCAGGAAACCACTAGCACACCAGGACCCCATCAGCACCACAGTACCAACAATGCTCCACATACCAGGAAGCCAGCGAAGGAGTAGTTGACAATGAGCATCTTGAACACGGCTTGCAGCACGACCTTCACTGCTGCTGCCTTGTGAGAGGGCACGGCATACCAGGAAACCACTAGCACACCAGGACCCCATCAGCACCACAGTACCAACAATGCTCCACATACCAGGAAGCCAGCGAAGGAGTAGTTGACAATGAGCATCTTGAACCCGGCTTGCAGCACGTCCAGGGCGACCTTCACTGCTGCTGCCTTGTGAGAGGGCACGGCATACCAGGAAACCACTAGCACACCAGGACCCCATCAGCACCACAGTACCAACAATGCTCCACATACCAGGAAGCCAGCGAAGGAGTAGTTGACAATGAGCATCTTGAACCCGGCTTGCAGCACGTCCAGGGCGACCTTCACTGCTGCTGCCTTGTGAGAGGGCACGGCATACCAGGAAACCACTAGCACACCAGGACCCCATCAGCACCACAGTACCAACAATGCTCCACATACCAGGAAGCCAGCGAAGGAGTAGTTGACAATGAGCATCTTGAACCCGGCTTGCAGCACGTCCAGGGCGACCTTCACTGCTGCTGCCTTGTGAGAGGGCACGGCATACCAGGAAACCACTAGCACACCAGGACCCCATCAGCACCACAGTACCAACAATGCTCCACATACCAGGAAGCCAGCGAAGGAGTAGTTGACAATGAGCATCTTGAACCCGGCTTGCAGCACGTCCAGGGCGACCTTCACTGCTGCTGCCTTGTGAGAGGGCACGGCATACCAGGAAACCACTAGCACACCAGGACCCCATCAGCACCACAGTACCAACAATGCTCCACATACCAGGAAGCCAGCGAAGGAGTAGTTGACAATGAGCATCTTGAACCCGGCTTGCAGCACGTCCAGGGCGACCTTCACTGCTGCTGCCTTGTGAGAGGGCACGGCATACCAGGAAACCACTAGCACACCAGGACCCCATCAGCACCACAGTACCAACAATGCTCCACATACCAGGAAGCCAGCGAAGGAGTAGTTGACAATGAGCATCTTGAACCCGGCTTGCAGCACGTCCAGGGCGACCTTCACTGCTGCTGCCTTGTGAGAGGGCACGGCATACCAGGAAACCACTAGCACACCAGGACCCCATCAGCACCACAGTACCAACAATGCTCCACATACCAGGAAGCCAGCGAAGGAGTAGTTGACAATGAGCATCTTGAACCCGGCTTGCAGCACGTCCAGGGCGACCTTCACTGCTGCTGCCTTGTGAGAGGGCACGGCATACCAGGAAACCACTAGCACACCAGGACCCCATCAGCACCACAGTACCAACAATGCTCCACATACCAGGAAGCCAGCGAAGGAGTAGTTGACAATGAGCATCTTGAACCCGGCTTGCAGCACGTCCAGGGCGACCTTCACTGCTGCTGCCTTGTGAGAGGGCACGGCATACCAGGAAACCACTAGCACACCAGGACCCCATCAGCACCACAGTACCAACAATGCTCCACATACCAGGAAGCCAGCGAAGGAGTAGTTGACAATGAGCATCTTGAACACGGCTTGCAGCACGTCCAGGGCGACCTTCACTGCTGCTGCCTTGTGAGAGGGCACGGCATACCAGGAAACCACTAGCACACCAGGACCCCATCAGCACCACAGTACCAACAATGCTCCACATACCAGGAAGCCAGCGAAGGAGTAGTTGACAATGAGCATCTTGAACACGGCTTGCAGCACGTCCAGGGCGACCTTCACTGCTGCTGCCTTGTGAGAGGGCACGGCATACCAGGAAACCACTAGCACACCAGGACCCCATCAGCACCACAGTACCAACAATGCTCCACATACCAGGAAGCCAGCGAAGGAGTAGTTGACAATGAGCATCTTGAACACGGCTTGCAGCACGTCCAGGGCGACCTTCACTGCTGCTGCCTTGTGAGAGGGCACGGCATACCAGGAAACCACTAGCACACCAGGACCCCATCAGCACCACAGTACCAACAATGCTCCACATACCAGGAAGCCAGCGAAGGAGTAGTTGACAATGAGCATCTTGAACACGGCTTGCAGCACGTCCAGGGCGACCTTCACTGCTGCTGACGGCTCCGGGAACGCTGCTGCCGTGTGCCGGAATGCCACTGAGGTGGTGCATGCCATGCCATGTCATGCCATGCGATGCCGTGCCATGTCACATACAGACACATGAGCGGGCATGCATGCGGGCGGGGGTTAGGATCCACGTGTATATAGTGTATTTTCAAAAGTGCATGAGACGCCTAAAAAATACACTATATACACATGAGCGGGCATGCATGGGGCGGGCGTGGGTTGGGATCAAGAAGTGGGTGAGTGTGCCTTGGAATGGAAACTTGGCTTGAGCCTCGGAGTAGGCATGAGACGAAGTGCTAGTGCACACACATGTCGTCAGTGACGTTTGAACAAACAAACAGGTATGGAACGAGGTTCTGCATCTCAAAGAGGCAATGGCAGTGAGGCTTGGAAACGCACGCTTGGAGGTGTGTTGGCCGATGGCACCATTGACAAAGAAGAGGTAATAGCCTGGGTGAAGGCCCTGGGAGGCGAGAGAGGGAGGAAAAGGAGATGGGTACGAGGGGGTAGAGTGTGGTGGGACTCAATGAGCCGACGGCAAAAGGGAGATAATCACTGGAGAGGAGACAGTGAGATGAGGGCACGGCGATGGGAGGCAGAGGGGTATGAGGGGGTGGAGTGCGGTGGTACTCGGCAAACCAATTTGCTGAGGGAGACAACGTGGAGACGAGGAATTGACAGAGACGAGGCGTTAGAAAAGGGAGATAAGGTGGAGAGTGTGGGACGGGTGGGGACACGCAGGGGCTTTTGAGACGACTCACATGCCAGAGCGCGGAGACGACTCACATGCCAGAGCGCGGAGACGACTCACATGCCAGAGCGCGGAGACGACTCACATGCCAGAGCGCGGAGACGACGCACATGCCAGAGCGCGGAGACGACTCACATGCCAGAGCACGGAGACGACTCACATGCCAGAGCGCGGAGACGACTCACATGCCAGAGCGCGGAGACGACTTGAGTGAAAACGAGCGTCCACATGGTGGGCTTGCCGGATCGAGGTGTCACCCGGTCGTACACGTCTGAAGGAGGGAGGTGGAGAGAAGGGGGAGGGAAGGGGAGCTTTGAGTAGAGGTTGATACGGGCCGACCACATGGTGGGCTTGCCGGATCGAGGTGTCACCCGGTCGTACACGTCTGAAGGAGGGGAAGCAGGGGGGAGTGGGGAGGTGGAGAGTGGGGGGTTGAATCGGAAGCATGGATTGGAGGTTGAAAAGAGGCCGTACCTTACCAAACGTGAAAGAGCAACTTGAAACAAATTGCGACTTGAAACGTTCCTTATCAAGAGCTTGCATGCCCCAGATGGTTAAAGGGAATGCTTGCCCTCGCACCCTCTTCCCCTCACCTCCCCGCCTGCTTCCACCCTCGCTTTCTCAACCACCATCCTACCACTGCCGGCTCCCATCCACATGTGCGCAACGCACCACCCCCGAGACCCCAAAAGCCTAGATACTGAGGAAACGTAACCCCCAATAGTCTGTATCGAGTCCCTCCCGCCCATGCACATGTGCGCAGCCAGCCACGTGCCAACACCCATGTTCCAGAAGGCAGGCAGCCCAAACGCGTAACTCTAGACCCATGGGTGGGGGACACCCCATAACTCAACCCAGAGATCCCACGCACATGTGCGCAGCCACGTGCCGACGCCCATGTTCCAGTAGGCAGGCATCTGCGCCAGACTCATCCCTCAACCACCCACCTTGCCCCTCAACCACCCACCTTGCCCCTCAACCACCCACCTTGCCCTCAACCACCCACCTTGCCCTCAACCACCCACCTTGCCCCTCAACCATCCACCGTGCCCCTCAACCACCCACCTTGCCCCTCAACCACCCACCTTGCCCTCAACCACCCACCTTGCCCTCAACCACCCACCTTGCCCTCAACCACCCACCTTGCCCCTCAACCACCCACCTTGCCCTCAACCACCCACCTTGCCCCTCAACCACCCACCTTGCCCCTCAACCACCCACCTTGCCCCTCAACCACCCACCTTGCCCCTCAACCACCCACCTTGCCCCTCAACCACCCACCTTGCCCTCAACCACCCACCTTGCCCCTCAACCACCCACCTTGCCCCTCAACCACCCACCTTGCCCCTCAACCATCCACCTTGCCCTCAACCACCCACCTTGCCCTCAACCACCCACCTTGCCCCTCAACCACCCACCTTGCCCTCAACCACCCACCTTGCCCCTCAACCACCCACCTTGCCCCTCAACCATCCACCTTGCCCTCAACCACCCACCTTGCCCTCAACCACCCACCTTGCCTCTCAACCACCCACCTTGCCCTCAACCACCCACCTTGCCCCTCAACCACCCACCTTGCCCCTCAACCACCCACCTTGCCCCTCAACCACCCACCTTGCCCCTCAACCACCCACCTTGCCCCTCAACCACCCACCTTGCCCTCAACCACCCACCTTGCCCCTCAACCACCCACCTTGCCCCTCAACCACCCACCTTGCCCCTCAACCATCCACCTTGCCCTCAACCACCCACCTTGCCCTCAACCACCCACCTTGCCCCTCAACCACCCACCTTGCCCTCAACCACCCACCTTGCCCCTCAACCACCCACCTTGCCCCTCAACCATCCACCTTGCCCTCAACCACCCACCTTGCCCTCAACCACCCACCTTGCCTCTCAACCACCCACCTTGCCCTCAACCACCCACCTTGCCCCTCAACCACCCACCTTGCCCTCAACCACCCACCTTGCCCTCAACCACCCACCTTGCCCCTCAACCATCCACCGTGCCCCTCAACCACCCACCTTGCCCCTCAACCACCCACCTTGCCCTCAACCACCCACCTTGCCCTCAACCACCCACCTTGCCCTCAACCACCCACCTTGCCCCTCAACCACCCACCTTGCCCTCAACCACCCACCTTGCCCCTCAACCACCCACCTTGCCCCTCAACCACCCACCTTGCCCCTCAACCACCCACCTTGCCCCTCAACCACCCACCTTGCCCCTCAACCACCCACCTTGCCCCTCAACCACCCACCTTGTCCCTCAACCACCCACCTTGCCCTCTTGCCCGCCTCGCCCCAGGGTGTTTGTTCCAAAGCACGTGTTTCATTCACACCCACACACTCAAGCCCAAAGAGTCCCACACACACGCTCCACCACATAGACTTTTGAGTCGCCTCAAGATTCACAGCAACACGCTCCAACACACAGCAGACTCGTCATGATCTCGTCGTGATCTCGTCGTGATCTCACACCTGATGAAGTTGGCGTTCTCTGCACGGCTCCTGGAGGTGTGGAGGAGGGGGGACGGGTGGGGGTGGAGGATGATCAGCACCGCCCTCCTCTTTCCACTGAATGCAATCAGAATGAACAGCCTTACGACGCCACCGTCCTCCTCTTTCCACTGAATGCAATCAGAATGAACAGCCTTACGACGCCACCGTCCTCCTCTTTCCACTGAATGCAATCAGAATGAACAGCCTTACGACGCCACCGTCCTCCTCTTTCCACTGAATGCAATCAGAATGAACAGCCTTACGACGCCACCGTCCTCCTCTTTCCACTGAATGCAATCAGAATGAACAGCCTTACGACGCCACCGTCCTCCTCTTTCCACTGAATGCAATCAGAATGAACAGCCTTACGACGCCACCGTCCTCCTCTTTCCACTGAATGCAATCAGAATGAACAGCCTTACGACGCCACCGCCCTCCTCTTTCCACTGAATGCAATCAGAATGAACAGCCTTACGACGCCACCGTCCTCCTCTTTCCACTGAATGCAATCAGAATGAACAGCCTTACGACGCCACCGCCCTCCTCTTTCCACTGAATGCAATCAGAATGAACAGCCTTACGACGCCACCGCCCTCCTCTTTCCACTGAATGCAATCAGAATGAACAGCCTTACGACGCCACCGTCCTCCTCTTTCCACTGAATGCAATCAGAATGAACAGCCTTACGACGCCACCGTCCTCCTCTTTCCACATCAGAAATCTCCTACCGGACGAATCACACAGTAGGCAGATTCACCAGAGAGGAAAACGGCCAATGGATTCGCGACAGCCCGTGATTACCATCAACCGCAGCCCTCACTGCACATCCCATGAGCATGGATTCCAGGCTCGGATCGGAACTTACCAGTCTGGGCGCGAGCGGAAGGATTTGGTCGTCTCTGAGAATGTTCGAGAACCGCCGTGTGCCACATCCCAATCTCATGTTGGCTTAAGTTGAAACGCACCAGTCTGGGCGCGCGGGGAAGGAGTCAGACCAGCCGGAGAAGCCGAAGCCAGAGAGGATCACAGCAGCCTCGGCCACACTCCAGATGAAGTAGTAGGAGCAGCGGAAGCAGATGCCCGCCACCACCAGGCAGAACCACCTGTGGGATGCAGTGCGGATCAGAATAAGGGGACGGGGTACAGAGAGACGGGTGGGAACGGGTGTGAAGAGATGAAGAAGTAGGAGCAGCGGAAGCAGATACCCGCCACCACCAGGCAGAACCACCTGTGAGGAAGTGGGATGGACGGCAGGGGATCGGAACCAGGGGTGGAGGAAGAGGAAGAGATAAGGCCGGGAAGAGGCGTGCAGAAGGAGGGACGGCGGTAGAAAGAACCAAACCAAAGCAGACTGCTTACGTAGCTACAATGTTAACTGATGCCAGCGATGCTACTGATGATGCGCGTGATGCTCACGCTGCTGCTGGCTGCCAGTTAAGCTAGTGAGCAGAAGCGAGGTGACTTTTGAGTCGACTAAAAATTCATCCTGATGCTGCCAGTTCAGCTAGTGTGCAGAAGCAATCCGGATACCCTCTGGCCTTAAGCATCTCAAAGAAGAGGACTTTCCTCTCCCAAAAGGTTTTGAATGATGAATTCTGCAGACAGTGACGTTTCAGCTCACTTGTGATGAACCCTCTCTTACAATCCTTCGAGTGGAAAGAGGAGAAGGGGATGTACAGATACCGATTCATCGGTTTCTGAAAGCTAGCAGCATCCAGAATTCTGGTTTTGTGGAAGCGTTCCCCTTCGTAGAACTGAAGGTCGAGGAAGTCGATCCTTTCCTAGCTGATTTCCCACGTCAGCTTGATCGTGGGCCGAAGGGAGTTGAAGGCTCCTAAGAATCCCTGGAGAGTCTCTACACTCCCCTCCCAAATGATGAACCCATCATCTATGTATCTAACATGACATAGTGGCTCTATGGTCACCTTCCGCATCAACTCCTCATCCAGCCAACTCATATACAGGATGGCGAAGACAGGAGCGACCAGGGTTCCCATTGCCGTACCTCTAACCTGTTTATACACAGTATCATCAAATTGAACATAGGAGTTACACATCACCCATCTAAGAAGAGAAATGATCAATGGCCTAAGAGGATGTCTATCTCTGTTGAGAATCCTGTCCACAGCTTCAATTTCCTCAAAGATTGGGATAGATGGATACAAACTACTTACGTCATATGTGCACAAAATCACTGAGGAAGGAACCTGCTGCTGCTCCAGCTGAAGGAGGAGGCTCTGACTGTCCCGAAGGTAAGTCTTCTGCTAACACCAAGGGACGGAGTTGGCAGTCCAGCCATTTAGAAGCATTAGCAGTGATCCATGAATGAGAGGCTGCAATCGGTCGTAGCAGTGATCCATGAATGAGAGGCTGCAATTGGTCTTCCCACAGGCACTTCCTTGTGCATCTTCTAAAGGATGTAGAAGAAGGCGGGTTGCCACCCACGGGTCGGAGAATTCTCCAAGAAATCCCACGTCTTTTTAGGAAGGCATGGGAAGTCCCCCAGTCCCACAAGGTAAGACGGTGTCCAAGGACTTTGGACTTGGGGCTGGGGGGGTTTTTGAAAATTCTCAAAAAACACTCGCTGCAATATATTTCCCTCCCACGGATGTTAGTGTGTTGGCGCCTACCAAAGAGGATACGTAACCTCTTGGTGAAAGCGAAGTTTCAAAAACGGGGATACACCACCCCCGTGAGTTGATGGGATTGAATTCGTCCCACCAACCTGCATGTTGGACTGTCATTGTAAATGTTGTACAGCCAGCTAGCGAGCCGCAATGACGAGCCGCACTGGATTTCTTGTTTCTTGGTTGAGTGCTGGGCAAGGTAGATGGGAGTAGATAAGGAGTAGTTCTTTCTTGTAACTCTGAGAGCGCTGATGAAGGCCACCAGCCGAAACGCGCGTACGCTCAGGTTTGAATGACAATTTTCTTACCTATTCAATCCCTACTAGCCTAAGCTCAGCCTAGAAGAGATTAGAACGAGTTAGCTCTGTTGGATCTAGGTCGAAACTATTTTCCTATGCTAAAAATTCACCCTGATGCTGCCAGTTCAGCTAGTGTGCAGAAGCGCCGACAAACGCTGCTCTGCTCTGCTCTGCTCTGCTTTGCTCTGAGATACACTGCACAGACTCACTTGTACGCAAACCCGTAGGTGAGGAAGCGCGGCTGGAAGAGCAGGGCGGGGCCGAAGTGCTGAGAGAGGAAGTGGTGCATCGCCAAGAAGATGATGGCCTTCCCCAGCGCCTGCGCCGCATACGGCAGCGGCTCCGGCATCTTTCGCAGCTTCCCCTCGCCCTTCCCCTCGCACACCTTTTCGCCCTTGCTCTCGCCCTGCGCCCTGTCTGCCTCCCCGTTTCCGTTCTGTGCCTGCTGCCCCTCCTCCCCCTTGCTGGTATCAGCTGTCTTGCTTGGCACCACGGCTCCAGAGGGCGACCATAGCTGGGGGAGGCATGGATGAACACAGGGGAGACGACAGGAGTGGAGACAGAATTGAAGTCAGGGTTGCAGGTACAGGGTACAGGGAGCGACTTTTGAGGAGCCTCTTTTGAGGCACCTTTTGAGGCGACTTTTGAGGCGACTTTTGAGGCGACTTTTGAGGCGACTTTTGAGGCGACTTTTGAGGCGCCTTTTGAGGCAACTTTTGAGGCGACTTTGGAGGCAACTTTTGAGGCGCCTTTTGAGGCGCCTTTTGAGGTGCCTTTTGAGGCGACTTTTGAGGCGACTTTTGAGGCGACTTTTGAGGCGCCTTTTGAGGCGAATTTTGAGGCGCCTCAAAAGGGGGAGGCACGGGTGAACACAGGGGAGACGACAGGGGTGAAGACAGAACTGAAGACAGGGTTGCATGAAGGTATAGGGTAGAGGGCGCGCAACGCAGGAGACGGGAGTCGAAGGAGAGGGAACAGGAGGCAGTGGACAGCGGACACATGGGATTGCCTCATTGCTCGTCTCACAGTGCAGTTGGAACTTTACTTTGATGGAGAATGAGAACGCTTCAAGTCTGGTACATAAGTACTCACCCCATTCTTTGAGTCGACTCAAAAGTTGGTACATAAGCACTCACCCCGTCCCCGGCCACATAAGCCTGGTATCGCTTCAGGTTGACCAAGCACAGCGTGTATTGAGTCGCCTCACTTCGACCTTCCCCTTCACTTCCCTCCCCGCACTCACCTTCACCCCTTGCTCAGCCACGTACTTGTGCCCAGCAACGTACCTAGTTGAACACAAGTCCCACGAGCACAGCGCTTTGACTTTTGAGACGACTCAAAAGACACCTGAAAAGTCACCTTTTGAGTCGACTCAGAAGTCACCTCAGCCACGTACCTAGTTGGACACAAGTCCCACGAGCACGGCGCTTTCTGTCCTTCGTCCCACTCAAACACCACCCCAACACACTCGCTTCGTCCTTCCTCCTCCTCCCTGAATCAACCCTTGCCTAGCCGCATACGCCCGCCCGCTTGAATTTGAACACCAGCAAGGCACTGGTTGAGACGCCCTTCTTCCTCCCACCCCCTCACTTCCTCCCACCCCCTCACTTCCTCCCACCCCCTCACTTCCTCCCACCCCCTCACTTCTTCCCACCCCCTCACTTCCTCTCTCCACCACTCCCGTCTCTCACCCCTTGCCCGGCGGCGTACACCTGGTACAGCTTGAAGTTGAACACGGGCCCCACCAGCACAGCGCGTATTGATTCCCCACCTCCCCTCTCCCTCACCCACCCCTCCCCGCACTCACCCCTTGCCCAGCGGCGTACGCCTGGTACTGCTTCAGGTTGAACACGGGTCCCACCAGCGCGGCGCCAGGGAAGAACACGAACGACACAAACTCCACCACAGACGGCAGCCGCGCCAGCCTGTTGCTGTACATGCGGTGCTGCGCCTGGGGGGGGAGGAGGGGAACGGAGAGGCATGTGGGTGGCGTGTTGCATGTCCCGAAAGAGGCGTGCCAGCCTGTTGCTGTACATGCGGTGCTGCGCCTGGGGGGATGGGGATGGGGAAGGGAGAAGGATGTTGGTGGGAAGTTGCATGTCTCAAAAGAGGCACCGCAGCCTGTTGCTGTACATGCGGTGCTGCGCCTGGGGTTCGAGAGGGGGGTGGGAGTAGAAGAATCTGGGTGGAGTGTTGCGTGTATCCCGACGGAGCTGCGTCAGCCTGTTGCTGAGTCAGCCTGTTGCTGTACATGCGGTGCTGCGCCTGGGGAGATGGGCAGGCGCGTGGGAGGAGGAAGGGGAAAGTAGAGTCCGCATGCAGGCAGGCTGAAAAAGGCACAGATGGCACCTCGTCACAGTGTTACCATACCACAATCGCGGGACCCACTTTGTCTTGAGCAGCGCGCTATCCTGGTAGTCCAGGGCATGGCACAGCCCGTGACTTGGACTGTAAGCACCATAAGCGCTTGCAGCCTTGTTACTGGAAAAAAGGCTAGGCCTGGGCGTGCGTGACCAGCTTCAGCGCGTGCGGGGCTGTTACCTTGCTGCTACTGCTGTTAACGCTGTAACCGTTGTTACTCCGTTACCTTGTTACTGAAATCATATCTCTGCTGAGCATACTATCTTGTCCGGCAATGCTCCGTCCTGGTAGTCCATGGCACAGCCGCCGATCTTGAGCGTGATCACCATGAGCAGCCAGCCTTGTTACAATGTTACCACAATACCTTGTTACCTTGTTACCACCGCAGTGCATACCTTGTCGTCTGGCAGTGCGCCGTCCTGGTAGTCCATGGCACAGCCGCCGATCTTAAGTGTGAACACCATGAGCGTGCCCGTGAAGTGTTGGTGCAACCCTACGGTTTGCACTCGGCTTGTTGTTGTTGGTGCAACCCTACGGTTTGCACTCGGCTTGTTGTCCGTGTGCGTGAATGTGTGTGTGTATGGAATGGTATGAGGGCATGGGATAATATATATTTCATGCTTATAATTGTGTGTGAATGTTGAGTCATGATGTCGAGTGTGTGTGTCGAGTCAATAGCGAGTTATCGCTAGACGCGTGTTACGCGGTCGTTTGTGTCTCGCGGGCGGTTTCTATTTTGTCGTGCGCGGTTTCTATTTTGTCCTGTGTCGAACGTTCGGCGTGTCGCAGGTGTGTGCAGCAGACCCATCAAGAACTCAAGGATGAGTTTGTGATGAAGAGCCCGAGCCTTGGTGTCAAGCCTCAAGTGATTTCGAAGCTTGCCAAAAGGGTACACCTCAAGATATTGAAGATAGTTACATTACTTTGTGTAGTGTAACATTTCACTTGGTGTAGGCCCTAGTGAAGGGTAGTTTCGAGACCCTTCGTGGTTGGGGACAGTGTGGCACTGTTCCACATCACTGTACCTCGGCTCTTGGGGTTTGTAGGAGCTGGGAGTCATTCCCAACTCGTAACTCTTCCTATCTTGTGTTCTAAGACTATAGTGGCTGCCATAGTACCGTTCGTTCAAACCGACGCTGTGTCGTCAATTCTTTATCAAATCGTGCAATCTAAATTGCTAATTGTAGACGACGTAAAGACGCTCCAGATCCAATTTGAATCAAGTCATTTGCAGCTGTGAGCAGAACGCTATCAACGTTTGAAGCCGCTGTGCAGAAATCCGTCTGTGCTCTCTATCTTTCGTTTTAGGCACATTCAAGCCTATTGTGACTATAACAAGTGGTATCAGAGCCCCTTGGAGCAGTTTCGACAATGTCTGGACCTGAGGAAAGGGGTGGCAGAGGTGCTGGTGGCAGTGGAGAAGCTCAAGCTCAAGGCCAACCCCGTGATTCAGCCATGGCGCCCATGCAACCAAGTCTTGGCCCACCTAGGGATGAGCCTAGGGTGTTTGGGCTTGACAAGTTCAACGGTGACAACTTTGCTGAATGGTCCTTCAAGATGGAGAACATCTTTGACCACTATGACCTGCTGGAGGTGATGGAAGGAACGGAGAAGCGCCCCGAGAACGACCCGGAGAAGAGCCCGTGGGTGCGGAAGAGCGCACAAGGCTATCTCTTACTTGGGCAAGCGTTGGGGAGCAGTCAGATCCGTCACATCAAGCCATTCCAGCGTGAACCAGAGAAAGGACCAAAGGCATGGGCTGCTCTCAAGGGTGTACATGCTCCTGCAACAGCGGCGGTAGCGGTGGTGTTGGAACGGCAAATGGCGGCACTACGAATTGAAGAAGACGAAGCGGTTGAAGAAGGGGTGCAGAAATTCTTCGACTTGTTGACGCGGCTTGAGGGAGCTGATTTGAACTACAGTGAGCTCCAAAAGAAGACCAAGTTGCTGGCCTTACTCCCAGAGTCATGGTCCTCGCTCATCATCAACCTTAATCGCGACTTGCCCCGCCTCTCGCTTGAAGACGTGAAGCGAGCTATCCTTCAAGAGGATTTCCGCCGCCGTGAGTTGGCGAGTGCGGATGGCACTGGGGCAGCGAGCATCGGCCGTGGATATGGTCGAGGAAGAGGCAGAGGACGAGGGGGAGGAAGGTTTGGTGGCAGCAACTTCGGCGGAGGCCGCAGGAGTGGCGGTTACGGCAGCGACGACAAGAGCTACGGACGCGGTCGCGGCCGATTCGACGGCGAGTGTCACTATTGCCACAAGAGCGGACACATGTGGCGCGACTGCTACAAACTCCCTGATGGTTGGACCCCTGCTCAAGGCCAAGAGGGTAGAGGAGCAGGAGGAGGGAGAGGACGAGGCCGTGGAGGCCGTGGCGGTCGCGGTGGCGGAGCTGCAAACATGAAGAGCGGAGACAACGACAAGGACCCGAGCGACGATCGATACCCGGGTCTATTCTACTTCGTGTCGACGCAAGTACCGGCTGGTCCAGAGAAGGATGAAGGCTTTGAGGAGCCAGCAGCTGTGGGGAAGGTGACCCTACACCCCCTGGACTATTGGGTGATTGATAGTGGCGCTACCTATAGCATGACACCTCGCCCGGACTTGCTCACCGAACTCGAGCCGTCACCGGTGAAGCATGTCACATCGGCTTTGGGGCAGCGAGCAGAGGTGAAAGGCATGGGCAAGGCCATGTTCAAGGGTGCTGATGGGAAGATGGTGGGCCTCAAGAACGTGCTTTGGGTGCCCAGCCTTGCTGCAAACCTGATTTCCGTGCGGCGGTTGGCAAAGGCCGGCATGGAAACGAACTCGAAGGGAGCCAAGACCTACACCGCAAGGCTTGGCGATCGAATTCTTTGGGACCTTCATGAGGACAGGGATGTCTACAACGAGATGTGGCAGATCCCAGTGGACCCTATGCCTAAGGAGAGGCAAGTGGCAGCAAGCATCAGCACCAAGGATGGAGCGGTCGGTAGCGAAGATGGCGCGAACGGTCGCGCTAAGGAGAATGAGCTCAAGAAGAGCAAACCTGGAGGGACCAGCAAGTTCAGTGAACCTAAGGAGAGTGGTGCAGCAACCAAGGAGCAGCAAAAGGGTGAGGAGAACCCAGAGGCAGCAGCGGAGGAGGACTACGGAGAGAGTATGTGGGGCGCTATTGCGAGCGCGGCATTCTCCAATCCAACTTCGGGCACGGGGGAGTGTGATTGGCTCACCTTGCATCGGCGCATGGGGCATGTGGCCCTGCCCATCTTGCAGCAGCTAGTGAAGAATGAGATGGTTGCTGGCATACGTGTGAAGGGGGAGCACGATGAGGTGCTTGGCTGCCCGACGTGCATTCAAGCCAAGTTCACCCGGTTTCCGTTCCCTAGTTCGGAGGCAACGGCAAAGGCACCGCTTGATGAGGTGGTGATGGACGTGGTGGGCCCCCTGAAGCTTGGAGCTGCTGGAGCTGAGTATTTTCTCACCATTGTCGACGTCTACACCCGCATGACTTGGGTGTACGTGCTGGCCAAGAAGAGCGACGTGGCTGAAACGTTGAAGACGGATTGGTTCCCGATGGTGGAGCGGCAACAAGACCGTCTAGTCAAGTCAATCCGCACCGATCGAGGGGGAGAGTTCCTGAGCAAGGAGTTTGGGTTGTGGCTGAAGAAGAATGGTCTTCGGCACTCCCTCACCATGCCATACTCCCCTGCAATGAACGGCATCGCCGAGCGAGCGAACCGCACAATCACGGAGGCGGCACGCGGGTTGCTCATTGAAGCCGGGCTACCCGACTATTTCTGGCCTGATGCGGTGCGGAGCGCGTGTGTGGCCAAGAACAGAGCCTTGACTCATGTGGGAGCAGACAAATGGGTGCCCTATGTGGAGTGGCTAGGAAGGAAGCCAAAGGTGGATATGCTTCGGGTGTTCGGGTGCATGTGCATGGCGCTCGTGCCTAATCATCTTCGGCACAACAAGCTTGGTGCCAAGGCGGTGTGGGCCGTGCACTTGGGCATGGCTCAAAACAGCAAGGGATGGCTTCTTTGGGACCCATTCACCAAGAAGTTCTTGGTGAGCAGGGACTGCAAGTTCATGGAGAACTTCATGTACAAGGATTGGAAGGCGGAGAATGAGGCGAAGATAGGCGTGCGGTTTGGGGAGGTGAAGAGTTCCGGTTTGGAGCATGTCGAGCTGCCTTTGGAGCTGAGCAGCGGCAGCACAACCACAAGGCAATCCTCCCTTGTGAATGGGGGAGAGGAGGCCAATGATGCAGAGGAAGAAGAGGAGGAGGTGCAGCAAGTGAGCGAGCGTGCACCGTCACTCCCTTCCCGTACTACGAGTGCTCCACGGATTCGAGCCACACCGCAGCAACGCCAAGGCCTTCAAGTCCCTGCAGCTGAGGAGGAAGGAAGGGGGAAGAGGAGAGTTCAACCCCCTAATAGGCTGACCTATGATGCGCCGGGAAAGCAGGGCAAGACAGCCCTGGCCGGAGCGGCAATGATGGTCGGAGACGACGAGGAGAGTGACTACGAGGAGTGTGCCTTCGCGTTCTTCTCTCCGGTGGAGATGCCGGGAGAACCAGCAACTCTCAAGGAGGCTTTGGAGAGTAGTGATGCTGAGGAGTGGAAGAAGGCCATGGAGAGTGAGCTGAAGAGCATCGAGGAGAATGACACGTTTGAATTGATGGAGCTACCGGAGGGGCGTACGGCGATAACGTCCAAGTGGCTCTTCAAAATCAAGTCGGATGCCGACGGCAAGATCGAGCGCTACAAGTCTAGGCTTGTAGCCAAGGGGTACCAGCAGAAGGAGAAGGTGGACTTCAAGGAGCTGTTTGCCCCTGTGGTGAAGCCGACGACGCTGCGAACCCTATTCGCGGGAGCCGCCATCAAAGGATGGGTAGTAAAGCAAATGGACATCGTAACGGCATTCCTTAACGGCATCCTTGAGGAGGAGATTTTTATGGCGCAGCCAGAGGGGTTTGATGATGGTAGTGGCAGAGTGTGGAAGCTGAAGAAGGCCCTCTATGGGCTGAAGCAGGCCCCTAGGCAATGGTACATGAAGCTGCGCGAAGTGTTGGAGGGGATCGGCTTCACTCCCTCAACGGCCGATCACTCCTTGTTCATGCTTGGCGAGGGGGAGCAGAGGAGTTTCATGGTGGTTTATGTGGATGACATCCTCATTTTCTCACCCTCTTCTGACCTTGTGAAGGAGGTGATGCTGAAGCTTCAAGACAAGTTCAAGTGCAAGGCCCTTGGTGACGTGAGCTTCTACCTTGGGCTCCACATCGAACGAGATGTGGAGAAGCGGTGCATGCGGGTGCATCAACGAAAGTACCTGGAGGCATTGGCTGCCAACTTTGGGCAGAGTGAAGGCCATGTGGCTACACCCTTTCCCTCTGGGTTCAAGTGTGTGAAGGGACCAGAGGAGGAGAGCGTTGGTGAAGAGGAGAGGCGCCGATTTCACTCGTTGGTGGGCAGCCTCA